TTCGAATAATTATTCATTCGTCTATAAGTATTGAACTACCCAGTATATATTTCTAAAATTTGGTATGGAGCTTATACTTGGGACGTTGAATTCATTCACCTATCGGGTGAAGTGAAAATCCAGGTTCGGCTTCAGGAAAAATTTACATTTATTCAAAATATTAAAATAACACACTGTATGTAATAATTGACAGAGTTCATCAGTAGAATCGTGAAGAGGAGGAAAAAGTGAACTGGATTTGATGCTTTTTGTTTTCCCGCCACCAATTCTCATCGTAACAATCATAAACAGAAAGCTAAAAAAGTATATCAATTCGAAGAGTATTGAAATTATGAAATCACTTTTAATTATGATTATTTGATATATTCTTGTTAATTGATCGTTCGAAAGAACTTACTAAGTCTCACAGTCTTTATAACAGAGATACAGGGTGAATTATCGGTATCGAATAATTATTCACTCGTCCATATAAGTATTAGACTACCCATCGCAGTAATATTTTCTCAAATTTGGTATTGAGCTCACTTGGGACGATGGATCCATTGACCTATCAGGCAGAATGGAAATACAGGTTCAGCTTCAGGCAAAGTCTCATAGTCTTTATAACAGAGATACAAGGTGAATTATCGAATTATGATTATTTGGTATTATTTCCATTCCGCCTGATAGGTTAATGAATCCATCGTCCCAAGTAAACTACATACCTACCAAATTTGAGAAAATGTTACTGGGTAGTTTAAGACTTATGGAGACTGTGAGACTTAGTGAGTTCTTTCGAGGGATTTTTGACTGAAATATCAAATAATCATAATTGACACTGGTTTCATAATTCCAATACTCTTCAAATTGACATAGTTTCAACTTTCTGTTTATGATTGTTACCATGAGGATTGGTGGCGGGAAAACAAAAAGTATCATACACAATTCAGTTTTTCCTCCTCTGCACAATTCTTTTGATGTACTGTGTTAATTAATGAATACAGTGTGTTATTTTAATATTTCGAATAAATGTAAATTTTTCCTGAAGCCGAACCTGTATTTTCACTCCTCTTGATAGGTGAATTAATTCAACGTCCCAAGTATGAGCTCCTCACCAAATTTGAGAAAAATATACTGGGTGGGTCAATACATATAGACGAATGAATAATTATTCGAAATCGATAAATCGCTCTGTATATCCGTTATGAAGACTCTAAGACCTATCGAATATGGTATTTTCAGAACCAGCTTGGTGACCCCTATCTACCATTGAAATGTTTCCCTTTACCTATGAAACACCCTGTATAGGTATTAATTTCTGTTATTTCCCGTTCTAGTTCTCTAATGCATCAAACCCTGTCAGTCATTACGATACTACTGCTGAGGAAATCTATCATCAGTGTGATGGAAAAGTCGATATGGTGGTAAGTATATTTTCAGTCTCAATTCATTAGTATACAGGGTGTTCCTTAAAGACATGCTAATATTTGAGGGAGTGATGCTCTGACGCATTTCAAGAATAAAACTTCATATGAACGTATATCGTAAACATTCTAACTTTTGAGATACAGGGTATCAAAGTTGAAAATATGCATAGATTATTTTTTGCTCACCCTGTAAAGCTTTACGTGATGAAAAAATTCAGTCTGCTATGTGACTGAAACAGTGCAAAAATTTCAAAATGTTACATACTGTGGTTATCTAGTAATTGATGTTCTGAATGGAGTACTCAGCTTAGCATTCACATCAAAATTTGGCCGGGATTGGCGCAGTGGAAGAGCGTCCGACCCACGACCGCAAGGTCGTGGGTTCGATTCCCAGCACGAGCAAGGAACCTTTTTTCAATATTTTATTCACGAATTGAATATTGTAAAGTTTCGGAGTATCGGCTGGGGATAGTCCTGCACGATTCGCTGTTGGGTTCCAATTAGCAGTGCTGCTCCTAAAGTGGCGCATGGAGTTAGTAACAAAGCCTACACAGAACACGCAGAAAGATATGATGATGTGGTAGTGAGCATCAGAGAAGAAGTAGGACGGTGTATGTAGGTGGGTGTGGAAAACTACCAGCTGAGCGTGAGAGCGGGCCAGCTGCTTAATAGACCTCGGTCTCGGGGGTTAACGAGGATAGTTAGCAGGCCTGCCACTGCGCATATGGTAGTGAGTACATTACTAGCATACAAAACACAGCCGAAAAACTCTGAAAGAGAGCTGATGGGCGTTGCCTGAAAAGGATGTTAGCCAGCTCTCTTGAGCGAACCACATCAGTCATTGAAAACACTTGGGGTTTGCAAAAAGGTCCCATAAGGGACTAGTTGCTGACGTGTAAACGTCCCCCACCAGTACCAGTTACATCAAAATTTGAAGTCTGGTCTCGTTTTTCCGTTTTTTCTCGAAAACGGAGCATCCTATAGAGTATCAACAGGAGGATCTTTTTTGCACAGAATTGAATGGCATTTCATAGGATTGTATGAAATTTCGAAATTTTCCTTCGTTGCTCACTTCTAAGTAAAATATAAACAATAATATTCCCCAAACGGCGTCACTGGTAAAGAAAATGAAAATTTGTGTACATCAGAAAATGCACCTTGATGCATAGAATACATATCTACAATATTATCTCGATCAGTTATTATTAAAAAACTGATTTTTTTTTCAAAACTTTATCGCCCTGTATCTCAAAAGTTAAGACTTTTATTGAGAGATACATTCATAGGAAGTTTTTATCTTGAAATGAATCAAAGAATCACTCCCTTAAATATTAGCATGTCTTCAAGGAACACCCTGTATAACGAAGTAATTTTCCACGACATGCTTCAGGATCATAGAAATGTTTGCTATTAGGTCCACGTGTACCCCTGTCGTGCGCCATATCATACAGGGTAACAATTTGAAAACAAGCGACAATTTACATATGAGATTTCCACAAAATTCTTAAACACACAACATGTTTCGCTAACATTGTAGCTTCGTCAGGTGATATACTGATGGTTCAATAAACTAAACCAACGTTGGCTTGTTCAACGCAGGTCACAATTGATACATCATAGCGATATATTTGTGATGTAACTCAACTTATTTGCTGAGTCTGATCTTATCGGTGTTTATAGGTGATGGGAGCAGGCACGGGTGGCTCGATCAGTGGCATTGGCAGGAAATTCAAAGAGATCTCGCCTCAGACGAAGATCGTAGGCGCTGACCCGTACGGCTCGGTGTACGGTTACCCTGACAGCATCAACAAGACCGACGTCGAGTTCATCGAGATCGAGGGCATTGGCTACACGTTCCTTCCCACCTGTTTGGACAGGGAGATTGTCGATCATTGGGAGAAAGTGCTGGATAAGGACTCGCTGGGTATGGCCAGGCGGCTGATCAGGGAGGAAGGACTGTTGATCGGTGAGTGCTAGAGAACTGGATGTCGTCCAGATAGGCATTGATCGCCAGATCAATGATTCCACAGGCACACAAAAAAAGTTGTGTTCCAGAGCTCCGATATTTTCCTTTGTCGAGGTGGTTGAACTCCTTTATTGACATCATTATATTAGGTAGCCAGGTAGCCGTGCGGACAGAGTGGCCATATTCTAATCCGCATTCGCTTGCCGGTCGTGGGTTCGATTCCCATCTACTGCAGAAATTTCCCTGATGGCCCAAGAAAGTAACCTTTCTTGGGAAAATCACGTGACATCAATTGCTAAAAGTGCATCCTCAAAACTTGGTTTTCTGTTTCGGGCCAGTAGCCATTTCACTTCCAGTCAGCTGTTTATGATCTATAAGGCACAGATCCGACCTGTCCTGGAATACTGTTCCCATATTTGGAGTGCAGCACCCAAGAATACCCTGAAACTGTTGGATTCTGTCCATAAAAGGGCTATTCGTCTCGTGGGTGATGCCAAACTCACTCACTTCTCTGGAATACCGTAGAAAAGTTGGCGATCTGGCTCTATTTTATAGATATTTTCATGGACGATGCTCTTCTGAAATATCAACGATTGTTCTTCCCTTGGCAGTCCCCGCCAGGTTAATCCGTCGAGTGAGGCTTCGCACCCCTTCGTGGTCACTTTGGAGACGTGCAGAACATCTCTTTCCAAGGACTCGTTCATCCAACGAACAGCGAGACTCTGGAACAAATTGCCAAGGGAGGTGTTCCCCGTGGCATATAACCTCCAGTTATTTGAGAAGAACACCAATTCCTACCTTATTTACCTTGGTTCTCACGATGTTCTCTGAACATTACAGGATATCCCTTCTCGTGGGAACCAGAACATAAAAAAATGCTGCACGTAGTTCCGATTAGACCAGAAATGACCACAACTTTCAAATCTTAAATATGGGATACTCTGTACTTCATTCTATATATCTGTTTAGGGTAGTATATTATTACGAATTCGACAATACCGGGTTTGATAGAGTAATTTCAAACGATTACGAAGATTTTTGCATTCGAAATTGCCATTATGCTCAATGGGTGTGACAGAGATAGCAGTTTCGATTTTGCGCCGTCACACCCATTGAGCATATGGAAACTTCGAATGCAAATATATTCGTAATCGTTTGATATAACCATATCAAACCCGGTATCGTTGAATTCATTGTGATAATCCATAATCGATTATGGAATACAGGTAATTAAGTACGGCAAAGCAAGTAGGTATGCTTACAAATGTCAATCGAACCATTATTCACAACCCCCAAATCTCGTTTTACTATACCATTTTGGGAGCGACAGATGAGAATAATGATTTATTGTAGACAATTCGGATAAAACTTTTTATATTGACACACCAAAACAATATCAATCTTGTTATTAACATTCTATTAAACAATAACGCATCAGTTCCTGGAAACCATAGATCACTACACCATCAATAATAAAAAAAGTTACAGGGGTGAACTATACTTTGAAAAATCGCCCGGTACCTACCTAATTGAATCCTCAGCAGAGAACTGCCGTTCGAATTTGACACACTGATTAGATATCAAATAAAATATAATATTCTAATGTCGATCCCATCACTATTTTCCAGGGGCTAGTTGTGGTACCATATTAGTGGGAGCCTTGAGGGCAGCCCAAAAAATGAAGTTAGGAAAAGGCCACAGAGTAGTTGTCATCTTACCAGACAGTATTAGGAACTACCTCACCAAATTCGTTTGTGATCAATGGATGGAACAGAGAGGTTTTCAAGAGGCAGTCAACACTGGAAACCATAAGTAAGAAAGTGACAATGAATATCAGCGAAGGATCATCTGATAATGCAAAATTGTTTTCATAGGTGGTGGGACACTAATGTTTCGAAACTGCAGCTACCTCAACTCCAAACTGCATCACCAAAAACTCCTTGTGAAGAAGTTTTGAAATTGATGCGGAAATCTGGTGTTGAACAAGTGCCTGTAGTAGATGATAGAGGGTGAGTCCTTCTAGTATCTAGTATGATGCAATAAATTTGTATGAATCTATCATGATCAATTTTTTATATCGTTGCCAATTATCGATAAGACATATAAACAATTCACTCATATCATTATACCTCTATTAATTATATTTCACAGGCATACTACTGGTGTCGTCACGATCCAGAACCTTACAAACAAACTCATTTCCGGTGAACTCAAACCAAGTGATGGTGCCGGCGACTGTATCGATAGGATGTACCCTAAAGCTGTGCCATCAGCGAACCTGGGGCTCATCTCTAGAATATTGGAAAAGGATCCATACGTCCTTATTATTGAGAAAAATGGTAACTAAATCGACAATATTTCATAATATAAGTGTGCGCGTAAAGTATGGACATATGAAACTTTAAAGATATCTTTGACACCCCCTAAGACACTGGACCAGCTATTTTGAATTTTAACTCTTCGACGTTGCCAAATGTACAGTCGTATTCAAAAAAGCGTACAAGTATATTGGAGGGAGAAATTAACGTCATCTTATTGTTTGCGTAAAACGGGCTATCGGGAATGAATGTTTACCAAATGTTGACAGTAGAGTAATCATAGGTTCTCAAAAACACAAAGCATTGGCTGAGCCAATTTTACACAACGAGAACTAGAATGCCGAATTCTTCTATGTTTAATATTTGTACGCTTTTTTATTGAATACGACTGTACATTTCCTGAGATATTCGAAGAAAGAAATTAGGAATAACACTTTTATTGCTACCAATGATGATATTATTACAAGAAGATAAAATTTAATGGACCACTTGATATTTGTTGCAAGAAGTATCTGCTGTTTTTGTCCTGATATAAACATGATATCGAATGGGGGGTGTCGGGGATATCTTCATGTCTCCAAACTTAACGCAGGCAGTGTAGCTATAGATATATATTCCTTTGAGTGGATATATATCTTTTCCAAATTTCAGGTGCTGGACCTACCAAAGTATTCAAACCAATAGGCATTGTAACAGGAGTTGATCTCCTTAATTTCACCCAGAAGAATTAGAAGAATCCTTTCAATTTCGATCAGATTATAGAAGTTGAATAATTGTATATACCAAACATCTCTTCAGAAGAATTTTATATTTAATGATATTATCACATAATCTGCTATGATGATGGTACCCGCTACCCATCCTTTAAAATAGAGAATATCACACAAGCATGATATGTGTTTTTTTCAAATATCCCTGTACTCATACATATACATTTCTTTTTCTGCAACGGAAACAATTAACTCGAATAAACATGTGAAAGTAACCACCAATGCCGTGCCATATGTATGCAATGCAACAAATATTGACAAATAATCCATGTAGTGAGAATATTCTACCTGCATTAACTGCAGGTAAGGTTTTCTAGAATGTTCAACAATGATAATAGTGATTATTTATTCCTCTCCATACTACACTGTGTTTGACTTGATAATCAAATGAAGCGGAACAATATCGTTGTTTGAGACAAAAAACTATTGCTTGCTGTGATTATACAAAAACAAGTTATTCATTCCGAGCATAACGAATGAAATACAGATCAAGCAAGTATTTGAATCTTGAAGGCTTCCCTGATCAAAACAAAAATACTTAACTGAGGTATTTATAATTCCAATACTAAACTATAATAAGGTGTATTTATATCTCCAGCATGGGTATGAAATGCCAAATCTGCTGAAATCGAAAACAAATCAGGTATGCGTCTCAACCCAAATAACCAACCGTTACAATGTTGTTTATTCTTGATGATGACGTCCAGTACATCCTTTTTAGTTCCTAGGAGCTAAAGTTCAACTTTAGTTCCTAGGAACCAAATTTGTTGCCTAGCAACATACCTATTTTTGTGTCAGTAATAGAAACGTCACTTTAAGAGCTAATTTTGGTATCAAAATGGACGACTTTTGTGTCGGTTGCAGAAAAACAAATTTAGCCCTTGAATTGACGTTTCTATTACTGACACAAACATAGGTATGATGCTAGGCAACACGTTCAGTTCCTAGGAGCTGAAGATGAATTTTAGCTCCTATATAGGATCGAACTAAAAAGGATGTACTATATGTCATCAAGAATAAAATACATTAATTGTTACGGGTTATGAGTCATGATGCAGACCTGATTTGTTTTTGATTTCGACAAATTTGGAATCTAATACCCATTCTGGAGATATAAATACACCATATAGTCAAGTATTTCTGTTTTGATCAGGAAGGCATTGAAGATTCACAGTCTTGCTCAATCTGTATATAGGAAGTCCATTAGTTTCACTAAGGATCTGATTGATTGAATAACTTGTTTTTGAATAATCACGGCCAACAATACCTTTTTGCCTGACACAACGATATTGTTTATCTTCATTCGATTACCGAGCCAAACACAGTTGATATGGTCACTAACCTAACATTTTCCACTTCTTTTTCCTACCTGGACTGGCGCGGTATTTGCTATTAGGGCTTTGGCACCTGGTCCAAATGAATTCATCGATTTAATAGAATATACACATGGGTCATAGAATAGAATAAACCTGATCTGTAAATGCAGGCAGAATATTCTCAGTGGGTGATGCCTCGCTCACAAACTCACTCACTTCTCTGGAACACCGTAGAAGAGTTGGCGATCTGGCTCTATTTTATAGATATATTCATGGACGATGCTCTTCTGAAATATCAACAATTGTTCCTCCCTTGGCGGTCCCCGCGAGACTCGTTCATTCAACGAACAGCGAGGCTCTGGAACACATTGCCAAGGGAGGTGTTTCCCGTGGCATAAAACCTTCAGAAATTTGAGAAGTACACCAATAATTCCTACCTTATTCCCCTTGGTTCTCACGATGTTCTCTGAACATTACAGGATATCCCTTTTCGTGGGAACCAGAACATAAAAAAAATGTTGCTTCCGCTCGGCTTCGCTGGACGCTCCGCCTCGCAAATGCGAAATTCGCTTGTCAAACAAAGTGTCACTTTTTATCCTAATGTCTATTATCCCTACATCATTTTGATTGATTCAATAAAATCTCTCTCTCTCTCTCTTCCTTTCTCTCGCTACTTTTCTCTGTCTCTCTCTATTTTGCTCTCTAGTAAAATGTTGAGAAAGAAATTGTCAAAGAATAAATAAGTTACAACGAAAATTATATATTGCACAAAATTGATGAGTGGATTGTCTAATGTGTATTTCACATATTGTCAACTCGAGAAGTGTACTATACTTTTTCTAAGCAGACTAGACTATACTTCCTTCAGGATAGTACATATATTAAATATTGTGTTAAGACTAGGATAACGAACACGCCTCCCACCACTTCAAGGGGGTTGAATATATAGTATATTTCTTTTAGATAGGGGTTGCGGGGATTTTTTCGATAGGCAAATTATTCCTCTGGTCTGTTTGAATGATTTCTACCCTATGTCATCGCAGCAGTTTTTCATTATTTGTTTAAAATTTTGTTCTAAAATTTGTTCTATCCGTCATTCGGTTGCCCCCTTACGAGCAACCCTCAAAAGTCTTCGAAAGTCTTGTGCGAGCAAGGAATGACGGGGGCCTTACCTTTTAACGTGTGATCCCAAACACTTTCTTGGGCCATCAGAAAAATTTCTGCAGTCGACGGGGATCGAACCCACGACCGGCAAGCGAATGCGAATTAGAATATAGACACTCTGTCCGCACGGCTACCTGGCCACCCTTAAAATAGTTTTTTATGTATCGGGTTGAATATGATATATATTTCTTGTTCGATATAGGGGTTGCGGGGATTTTTTCGATAGTCAAATCGTTCCTCAGGTCTGTTCGAATGATTTCTACCCTATGCCATTCCAGCAGTTTTTCATTTTTACCCTTAAAAAATGTTTTTATGTGGAGGGATGAATATAATTTTTTTTTTCGATAATGGTTTCGGGGATTTTTCCAGCGGGAAAATGATTCCTCTGGTCTGTTTGAATGATTTCTACCCTATGGCATTGCAGAAGTTTTTCATTCACACCCTTAAAATGATTCATTATGTGTAGGGTTGAATATTTTTTTTTTCGATAGGGGTTCGATAGGCGAATCGTTCCTCAGGTCTGTTTGAGTGATTTCTACCCAATGCCATCGCAGCATTTTTTTATTTACACCCTCAAAATATTTTTTTTTTCATGTTATTTGGTTGAATTTATTCATATAGGTAGGTTTTTTTTCGATAGGAGTTGCAGGGATTGTTTTTTGGTCGAATCGTCAATTATTAGTTCATTGGGTATGTTAAATATTTTTCACTCCATCTCATCGCAGCAGTTATTTTAGTTATTTTGGAAGCATGAAAAAAACATGTTGTCCGCCACTGGGTCTTCGGCAATATTCGGAGATTTCGTCTGCAATCTTTGGCTGCCATTTCACAGTTTCACACAGCTAATAGGTCGCGTGCAAGAACTGTCAGATGACCGACCCTGGAGGCAAAACATATTTGTTTACAAGTGATCGAAATAGTTTTCCACAATTATTTTGGCATATGAATCGTATTTTTCCGCTATTCATCAATTCGCTAATGCCATCACATTGTGCTGTTGTAAAATGCACAAAAACTGCAGCGGAAGATGAAGAAATCCGGATGGTACATTATGATTCAAAAGTAAGTACCTACTATAGTCACTCACATATATAGTTTTCATTTTTGAAATTTGGTTATTTCTCTGATTTCTCATCGGAATTCCTTCTGCAATAGGATCAGCTAATAGAAATATACCTGAAATTTCTAGAATAATGCAAGAAGATTGGATTCATGCAATCAATCGGTAGGACTGGTCTGACATGCTGACGATCGTGTGTGTTGTAGATATTTTCAATCTATTAGCAGCATTAGCTTTTATTGCAGAAGTGGCAGAAGGCAGAAGGAATTTTAATAAGGAATGACAACATTTCATAATGCTAACTACGTGAGATTACTATTTACCTGAAAAATCATATTCCCTAGTCTCTTGCTGCATTTTTTGTGCATTGTACAACAGCACAATGCGAAGGCATGCTTGAATTAATGAATAACGCAAGAAACACGATTCGTATGCCAAAATATTGTGAAAAACTATTTCAACCTTTTGATTCCTCTGTAACCAAATAAAAAAGTGAGGTTGTGTTTCAATAATTCACAGAAGAATGAGGTTGTGTTTCAATAATTCACAGAAGAATGAGGTTGTGTTTCAATATTTTGCCTCCAGGGTCGGTCTTCGTGCACGCGACCTATGAGCTTGTGAAAATTTATAGGTTATGTTTAGTGTTTTTATTTCAGTTTTCAACAAATAAAGTTTTTAAATATTTTAACACCATGAAAATAAAAAACTGAAAGTTGAAAATCTTCCTTTTTCTAGAAACTCAATTGAAGCAATGTTGAATTCAAAGCTTATATCTCTCGCTAGTAGACGATTATGCGAAAATGTACTGAAACAAAACTTAAACCACCTTTATCCCCCCGTTTTTCAGTGTTCTCCAATTCTGAATTATCACCAAAAACCGAATTCGAAACCATCCATAGAAAACAGTTTAGGATACCATGAGTCGTCAACTAGTATTAATAAACAGTTAGATAAAAACAATAATACAACAGATAATGAATTTTTGGTAAGATTGAAATCTGACCCAGACACATTCGGAAATCCTCCAGAAAAAGATATCCTTGATGAGGGTGATATCGCCGAAGAAAAATATTTCACAGAACAACCAACACATTCACAAAAACTCAGTACAAAACAGTATGCTGATATAATAAAGGACCTCATAAAAAAACGTAAAATAAAAGAGGCAATAGATTTGGTGGAAATAAGAATGTTGAAAGAAGATAGAGTGAAACCTGAAAACTATATTTATAACTTGCTGTTGGGAGCTTGTGGTAGAGTAGGATATACAAAAAAAGCTTTCATGCTATTCAATGACATGAAAAGGAGAGGGCTCAAAGTTACAGGTGGAACCTACACAGCCTTATTCAATGCTTGTGCAAACAGTCCTTGGCCAGCTGATGGCTTGCAAAGAGCAAAACATTTAAGGGAAATGATGCTCACAAAAGGTTATGAACCCAATGATACAAATTACAATGCAATGATCAAAGCATTTGGGCGCTGTGGAGATCTTCCTACAGCATTCTCACTTGTTGATGAGATGTCATCCAAAAGCTTAGCCATTGATGATGGTACCATCAACTTCTTGCTGCAAGCTTGTATAGGTGATAAAGAGGCAGGATTTAGGCATGCTTTGCTTGTATGGAGAAAACTTGTTGATATGCACATCAAACCTAGTATTTACACTTATAACTTGGTATTGAGGACTATCAGGGATTGTGGTTTAGGTGATAATGAGGTGACACAGGATGTCATTCATAAATTGGTTGGAAGGAGTTGTCCAAGCTTGCCTGATGACCTGCAGAACATGAAATTGTTAGAATCTGGTGAAACTGACCCTCCAAATGAGGTAAAACTTTGCTGAAATAACATTCATTAGAACATTCAAGAGATTAATTTTTACAAATTCAATGGTGAAAAATCTTTCAAATTGATACAATCAGAGTCCAAATAGCATCCAAATTCAGAATGAGCCTATTCAAATAGGGTATTCAGCAATGATTGAGAACCATAATATGCCAGTTTACTATGCAACCAAAAATACATTAATTGTATCTCTTTAACATGGGTGAAAAAGAGACACAAAAACAGTCACATGGCACTCAATCATTGTTAAGACCATTGAACTAGTTAAGACACATCACAAAATAATTGATTATACCAGGAGTTGGTAATGACAGCTATTCTGCAGCTATCATATCCAGTATTATTCTCAAAGAATCTTCAAAAAGCCAGTAGCAGCAAGGGAATAACATTCTGAGTGAATAATAGTCATTATTGCAAGTAGTATACTTACTCTACTTTATTTTCAGCTAATTCATTCCAGATTTTCAATACAAAGATTCATCATTTTCATCACAATACAAATACACAAGCAGTAAGCCTTTGACACTGACATTTGATTTTTTTCATATTGTTTCCATGGTTTTTATTTTGAAAGGTCTTGTGATTGGAGACATTAAAGTGCTAGAGGGAATAATGACCATCAAGACCTCATCATTATTCACATGGGGATTAATGTATGGCATGATTCTGCAAAAATCCCAAGTATAATATCTATATACATTATATATTTTGGTCCTAAATAACCACATTGAGTGTGGGACTGAATATCAGAAAATTTTGTGTTTGATACTCCTTTGATACCATTGACTACATTTTTAATTTTACCCCATCTGTAATGATTAGAGCATAGATGAACTATTTCATCTATGATTAGAGTTAGGCCAGCCATTGTCATTCTAAATGACAACCATAAGATATATTTTAAAACTAAATTCGAAAAGTCATATCCACCCATTTATTGCTTTCAGAACATCTCTTTCTCTCTCTGATTGATTCCATATCACATCATAATATTGGGTGTTCCGGAAAATATGGTATTACATTCCCCTTGTAGTCTTGCCAGCGTTCTACAATGATCAATTTTGGCACCAATATTGTCCCTACTTCATTTAGGTGTTGGAAAAAAGCATGACTTTTAATAAACAAGTCAGAAAAGTTCAACTTTTTGAATTAATTTGGAGTTTTTCGAATAATTCACTAAAAAAGAAACAAATTCATTATTCATCTAAACAAATTACAAAACTTCAATAATATTATAATCTAACCATGTCTATCAGCATAACATAACAAAATATGTAATTTTTACAAAAGAAACAATTGATTGAATAAAATTGATAAACACATAGGCAATTTATTACTTATTCAAATGATGGAAGTAAGATATGATGTGCGCATTCGGTCATTATCACGTATTGAAAATTTCAGAAAAATCACTCGACCGGCCTACTATGATTTCTCTACGTCACAACGAGCGAGAGGTTGATTCTACATTTTCTCGCTAGATGGTGATGCTGCTATTGCTGCTGTGACGAGTGGAAATAAAATGGCAAATGCCATTCTAGGTACGCGGAACATATGTAACAGTGGGATTAAACAGCTCTGAATTCAAAAAATCTGCGACAATTTTAAAACTGACAGAACTCATAATTGTGCAATGTCGCCATCTATTAGAAGATCAACGGAACCATTGCTCTCGCTGCTCTCGAGAGGTCGAGTAAAATTTCTGAAACAAAAGCGCATCAGTAATTACACCATATCTTACTAAACTTCCATCATTCTTTTTTCAGGATATTGATTGAAGCTGCTTTACAGTTCACAACTTTTCAAAAAAATACAGCAATTTTCGTTGTGCGCCTATGCATCAGATGCAAATCGAATGTTACTGTTCTCATGGTTTCTTCTACCTAACTCAAAACTTGATTAAAAGTATGATCTTCAAGTTGCCAAAATACCATCGGATTTTTCAGTTAGAACTAGTTTGAATTATTGATGGTAATAATGCGATTTGTACCCATTAAAGAGTTTTTTTAATTGATTCATGATTTTTTTAACAAATTCATTCCAATTAATTCACGAATCATTGACTTAATAGCAATTCAGCTAGCTGTGAGAGAGAAAAAAAAATGTCTTCCCCATCTGTCCTTGTCTTCAGTGTTCCAACGTAAGATGATGGAAATTTCATATTGCTTACATTGAAAATTGAAAAAAATTGAGAAGAATATCATATTAACCTCAATATAAAAAAGGTTAGAATGCTCTTCTCCTATTTCCAGTGTTGCCAACATGAAATTTTCATTAATTTATGTTATATTTGAATCAATTCGTTTCAACCCCACTATATCAATGATCTTTTGGGTGTAAACCACTTGCCCCATTCACAGATTTGCAAATGACAGTACTCTCCATACTGCATTATCTTCCAGAATTCCCATTTCTTCTCAGCAAACTAAGAATTCACGACAAAGGCAGGTCAACACTGTCGATGAAGATCTTGCTAAAATTACAGCCTGGGGAACCAACAACCTATTTGAATTCAACGCTACCAAAACTCAAGCCTGTATTTTCTTTAGAAAACATACTTAGTTTGTATGCTACCACCATTCCCACAAAGTCCACTGTAACTGTAGTGTTTCGGAAGACTATACTCCGAGAATCCTAGTAATTTAACTAGGAACAAAAACTACAGAAATCGTTCTTTAAAAATCTATTTTGACAAAAACCTAACAACATCACAATTGTTCCTTACCCAAGGCAACCTTATTCATATACAGAGCGATAGATATATATATTATATTTTCAATATACCACAGTAACTATGCTCGGTATTTCCATCAGCAATACTCTTCCATAGGAAAATCCATCGCCAAATAAGCTTCTTCACAAAAACTCGGATTTTTAGTCCGTGCGAGAATCTACTTTACACCTCAACAGCTTCTCATGACTTACAAAGCACAGATACGGCATGTTTCAGAATACCCTTCCCACTTATTATTCAAGTGATAAAAAAACATAAGTTGATGCTCCCAGATTCGATCCAGAGAAGAGCCATTTACCTAGTGGGTAATGCCACGCGATAGGCGAGTGGACAAATACCTTTCAATTTCATATTTTTCAAAAAAATGTTGGTCGATTTTTAGGTGCTAATATCATCAATAATGCCACGGTAATTTTGGTCGTAAGTAGGGGCAGACCATATCACAGTTATGTTGATATACGATTGGGAAATTCAGAAATAGTAGTTATTCCATGATTCATAAATTCTCAATTGAGTATTGGTGATATTCCCAATTGGCAATAAAAATTCAATTGTCTCAAAAGGTTCCCTTATGATTTGTGGCTTATTGCTTCTAAAAAAATTGTGTAAATAATGATTATATTAATTCACACTAGAGGACATTTGAATCGATGACCGTGACAACCACGGCGCACGACTTGTGGGCGTGGTCTTGTCAGTTCTCAGCATTCAGCACAATGTGGCCAAGTCGCCAACCTCCACAAGATATTTTGTTATGGAGAATAAAAAATATTTGGACATGCTGGTTGCTCAAAAAAGTCAAGAATGAACTAAAAAATCCAACGACAGTACTCTAACATCTTCTTGATAACCTGATTAGAAATAAATATAAAAAATCCAATACCAACCTCCTCTCCCTATCCTCCAATTCCTTTCGTGCGCCCCAAAAGATAAAAAAAAAAATTTCTAATCCATTGAGGATCCTGCATCTGAATGGTTTCTGTTTCAACAATTAATTTCAGGAAATCAACAATATACAAATTAGTGATTCAGCTCCAACCAATCCAGATGCTTCTATTGATATAATGTCTAGACCAAATTTGATGGCACCTGTTCCCCATTTGGGTAATATCGTTTCATTGTCAGAAGTCACCAAACCTGTTGATCGTTTGCTACTTGTTGGTGGATGCAATGGTTTTCTGGAGAATATGGATCAGAATGGATGCAAGCCTGATATTAAGACTTTTACTCAACTTCTCGATTGTATTCCCAGTACACTGGCAGCAGAAAGTGATCTCATGAATGCCATGAAAAAGATGAAAGTGAAACCTGATGTGGATTTTTATAATATGCTAATAAAGAAGAGGAGTATGAGATTTGATTATGATAATGCAAAGGTAATTATTTGAAAATACTTCAAGTTGATACTGAGGGCTTTTTTATATACAATTTGGCTTCTTTTCGTTATATCTACTCAAGGAATTTGGGGCACTATATACAGAGAGTGATTTAGGGTTAATTTGATCAAATACAATAAAAAAAGCAAACAGCTGACCGTATCTTTTATTTATCGTCGATTTTTTATATTTTGGAATTTTTAGTATTAGTACCTACTTCAACCTAGAGTTTGAAGAATTAGATTATATTTTCATCTGCAATTTTTCTTTTGATAGTGAATATTAACATTCAACTTCAAAAATGAGCCCCCTTTCAATTTTCTGCATTCTCATAAACACGATATGAATTATAAATTTCAGATAGGTATGCTTAGTAAAAATATTGTTTTTTTTTCTTTCAAGTGTTTAGAGTGAATTTTCAGTATATTTAATTTTTTTCGCTAACTGAAGAAAATTAACTTTTAGAACAAAAAATTTCAATGAACACAGTTCAATGAACACAGTTCATTAAACAAAATTGTTCAACTACCTACTTCTTCATCATTTCTTATTTTGTTGAATAGGCTAGAAATAAACTTGTTCAAGTCCTAAACAGGTCATCGAACTTTTCACATCAACGTTAAATTTGTTTAAAATTACTCTAAATGACTTTGTTTCTTTCTTTTGATTATGATACACATTTTGTTTTTACTGTGATATTTTTGGAGCGATTCATGGTTTTTGAAATTCAAATTTTTCATTTTCTTTCAGTTAGTTTTGAATCTACTTACTGAGAATGGATATAGACCAGATCTTATAACCTATGGAGTATTGGCGTTGGGTTGTAAGACAAAAGAAGAGTGCTTGGAGCTAGTAGAAGAAATGAAAGAACATAGTTATGGGTACTGTATAACGTTTATTTCAGAATTGCATTCCTTTTGAGTACCCAATGGTTTCACTTGATAATACTGAAAATTCCTTGAGACAATTATTTTCATTTTGGTTTATGAAGTTGAGAATATGCAGATCGTTTGCCCAATCATTACATAGGGGGCATGTGAATGGCAACATAGCTAGAGATACTGATTCGGTCGACTATCGTACGTCTTTGCCAGTGTTGCCAGGTCAAGAACGAGATATGCGGTAGACATAAAAAGCGGTAGATTCAAAAAGTTTAGATATGGTTTGAAATTACGTGATTAGGTAAGCAATTAACAGAAGTAAAGAAGAAAAAATAAATAATCATTCCTGTATGAAATGTAAAAACTTCACAAACGATTAGATTTCCACACAATGAAATAAACTAACCTTGGATTGCCTAATTTTGATATATCCTACTTTCTCAACCAGAAGGATTAGAATTACCATTAAAATACGGTGTACCGGTTGAGCAAATACATATCATTACCTACTAAGAAAACAAATTCAACAGGGTGAACTATTTTATCCTTTGTGACATTACAAGAATGTATAGGACAAGTCAATAACTTACTCTAAGAAGTGTGTTTAAAATTGGCTAAAAATGATCACAATAAAAAAAATGTATATATCAAAAGTACAGGCGGCACAAAATAAAATAAAAATGTTTTCCTCACATACAAAATACTCTGATATATATATGGTGTGAAAAGGCATTATCTTATATTTAAGATATGTGGACTTGCACGTTTGTCTGAAGTCTATACTGAACATTTTCTTATTATTTTTCTTGTGTTACAAATATTTAATTGGCATCTATGGAATTTCCCCATGAAATTAAATTATTATAACATAAATGAGTGTACACTGAACTGTAATAGACGCTTATTACTGCACTGGTGGGCATGCAATCTTTAATTCTTGAAATCGCATAGAATGCCTTATTCAATTTTATATTGACTGCGTTAACTTGCTTTGTCCACCTGAGATTGGAATCGATATGTGGTTGTAGACGATTCAATTATATTAATTACTTTCGATTCGACATGTTAGAGAAGATGAGTTAGATAGAATATTATGGAAATGGAAATATATACATTCTGTCATCGATATTGACCATTAAACCGTTACATTTACACCAATTCACAAAAGAATGTATTCGCGAGATTCACGAAGTGGGCGACATCTAGGTTACATAATACGAACTTCAAACTGGGGGAAAACAAACTGTTGTCAATGGATAAAGTGCATAGACTACATTGCATTCAGCTTGCTGTAGCTGTAGTCAAACTTGTCAATGACATTAAGTGTTGGAACTGTTGGTAGTGATGATGGTTGAGTTGATTAATTTTTTCACATCATTAGATTTTTATTAGTTGAGTGAACAGTGAACGGGTGAAGAATTGGAGATAGTTCAAACAATTGAAACTAATTATGACGAGCAAATCAATTGACATATTATAAAAGAACAGCTACAACATGTTTACAATACACAGATTGTCCTGCTTTGCATAGAAAAATACAAATACATTGTTGTACAGGAGTTTCTCTGGAAACCAACTTCAATTTTACTTCATGTGGGGATGATTTCATCGCCGAAGTTTGTGGACAAAGTGCAAAAATGTGCCTTTTGTTGAAGTCTTCTGCCTCACACAAAATCACATGATTAGCACGGAGAACTGCTTCTCCTTCCACTACTGGTCGGCTTTTTCCGTCTAAATAGAGCAAAATATCTGCCAAAAGTACATCTACAACAGGAATTATTAGCGTTTCCGATCGAATATTGACAATTAATGTCAAGAAAGTTCGAAACTTATCACTCTTATCAGTACACAGTACACAAGCTAATGGCACTAATGGGATTGAGTGAGGATTGAGTTTGTTTTCCCCCAGTTATGACGTTGCTTTGACATGGAACGAACTGGTAAGTCATTTATGAAAAGTAGAAATATTAGCGGTCCCAGTACAGACCCCTGACGGACTCCTCAATTCATAATATGAGAACCGGAAATAGTATCCCTTACTTTGACAACCATCTTTCTATTGCTGAGGTAATCTACTGTCCAATCCAAAAAAATTCCTCTGAATCCAACATTGTATAATTTATCTTTGATAAAATGTATGTCTAAGCTATCGAAAGCACGTAATAGGTCGAAAAACAACCCTGCCACGTGCCTTCCGCTGTCTAGTTCCATATAGACATATTCGAAAAGATCGCATGCAGCAGTTTGTGTTGATCTATCAACTCGAAATCCATGTTGGTGTGAAGCTATAAGCTTTTTTATAATCAGAGAGTGTATCATCCTGCTGCAGACGATCTTTTCAAAGATTTTGGATATAACACTCAGTGCTGATACTGCTGATACCGGTCGATAATTGGACAGATTTTCCGGATCATTTTTTTTGGGAATTGAATGACTTTGTAACGATCTGTTTTAGCGAAATATGTCGTGTGATTAAGAATTGTTTGAAAATCTTATCGTTTGTGAAGTTTTTACATTTGCTATGAGTTTCCAACTAACGGCCGAGTCAATTCAAAATTCTTGTATGAACTCTAGATTTAGCGCAAAAACGGTAGACCTGGCAACACTGGCCACCAATGAAACAACCGCCAGAGTTGATTGATATAATTATACAGAGACAATTCTCTGTAACTGGCCATGATGGCAAGTGTTATTATTTTTTTACTCCTATATGTAACGATTCCATAAATAATTTTAAATTTGTGTGTTTTCAGGTTGAATCCTGAAATATTAGGTGCCATGCTGAAGCAAGCATGCTTTCATGGGAATTTCAGTTATGTTTTACACATAATGAAACTGTGTATTTCAGAAAATGTACAGCCCAACAAGAAGTTTATGGAAATTTTGACAGATTTCAAGAGAAGAAGCAAATATATGTCAAATGAGAAGGTAAATGGATGAAACTATACAGGGTGGGCCAAATGGGCGAATATTTCAGATGTCCCACTTCAATTGCGGGTAGTGTAGTTCAATATTCTCGAAAACTAGGTACTAAATAAAATATTGGACGAAGATGATTATTATCTTACTTGAACTTCTTTCACTGCGACCTATTCATTTTATAGATTGTTGTGATTCAAGATGAACAAAAACTGACAAATACTAATTAAAAATCCATAGTAGTTTGAAAAACTAAAGAAACTCGTTTTTATGGATAGAGAACCTGAAAAGAAGTAGAAAATAAAATTATTAAAATGTGTTGATAAATACACAACATAGAATATATTGAATACGGAGATGCTATATTTTCTTTGTTGTGTATTTATCAACACACTTTTATTATTTTATTTTTCACACCTTCTTAGTTGGGATATCCGTGAAAGCATGGTTCTTTAGTTTTTCAAACTTCTGTGCATTTTCCACTTCTTTATAGTTTGGCTCTATAGTAGCGTGTTTCTATAGATTTATCAAACTACTATTTATTTTTTACTTCTTTTTAACAAAGCTATCTATAAAAGCGTGTTTCTTCAGTTTTTCAAATTACTATTTATTACAAAGCTCATTCGCAATATTCGATCTGATATCTTGAATTTCCCAATTTTGACGAAACAATAATAATCTACCACCCTGAAAACCCCCATATACCAATTTTAAATATAATCGGATCATCTTGTATTTCCCAATTTTTAAGAAAGAATCATTTCCAATCACGAAATCCCCAAGATACAAATATTGAATAGAATCGGATCATAATTACAAAACTCATCCGCAATATATTGGATCCGTCATCATGAATTTACAAATTTTAATGAAAGAATCAGAATCTTGGACTCCAAAAACCCCCAGACAAAGATTTCGAATAGAATCGGATAATAATTACAACTCGTCCGCCATTCTGGAGCCGCCATTTTGTTTTCTGGTCTAACAAAAATTCCATGATGCATTGTCACCAGAATTATGTATGTAAATTTCAAATCAATCGGACGTTTTGAAGAGGGTTTAAATCACGTTCGAAGATGTTACATACAAACCACCAACAAACATACACCAAGCTAATATAATTGGAAGTAGACTTATGTCCGCCTATAGACGAAACGCCAGATTTCAAATTTGAAAATGGTATTTTCTAGAGGACATTGATTTCGAAATATGTTGACAAAGAAGTTGAGAAAAAATTGCAAAATTTCGTATTTTTTCTTATTATTTGACTGAATCCCGCTATATTTTATTTGCAATTCTTATTCAACACAATAGTCGGTATAGTTTTCAAAACATCAAGAGACCCACAACTGGGATATGAATAATAAAACATGCATTGCCGAGGAAATTAGGTAGGTATAATATACTAGACAAATTTTTACGCGCTCTTTATTTCTCATTCATTTCGGACTCATTGTAGGTAGCTCAACAATTTTCTCACTAGTCAATTGATGCATTATCCTAGTTTAACCTACTAAGCATGTTTCATTTTATACCTATTTCAAATGGGCAAAAAATAGTGTTCCATAGCACAATGTTGATTTTCATTAAAATTGAATTTCTTTACATCATAAATCGGTACTGGTTTATCCTATTGAATTTATTTTGTTACCAAAAGTTTGGTGATTCATTAGAGATCAATTCGTCTCGATTGAGTATGCTTTTAATTTTTATAGTAAATGAGCTATACTCTTTCAACGCACCGTAATGAAATGATGTGAAATCCCAACCTACTAGTGTGACGTCAGCATCGAGATAAATAATGACACCGTACACAGCGCCCTCTAGATGTTACATGGAAATTAATAGTAAATTGTTATTTCCCATGTCAAAAAAACCCAGGATACCAAATTTCGTGCAAATAATTTAATTTTTGCAAAAGTTATTTTCAAAAAGCCAACTAAAAAATTCAATTTCAACACCAAAACGCCATATACAAGTTTCTATAATATAGACTTTTTTAATCAAAATTGTTTCAGGAATACATCACTTGAATATTCAAACATACTTATGTTACACCCTTTATAATATACAGTATGAAACATGGAAAAGGACCCCGCAAATTTTCAAGGTAATTTGGGTCCCGGTGGATTTTTCTCAATTTTTGGTATGATGTAGTTCATTTGATTCAATTACATATTGGCATTGCGCCAACCCCCAAAAATGAACAGTTTTTTTGCTAGGGGGGGTTGAATTCACATTTTAACCGAATTGATTATTTATTTCTGAGAGAATGAACAATATTCTAGAATTTTTTATTCCATCTAATTTCTCCTATGAATATATGCTTTTTGAAAAAATATAGTGAGGGGGAATTATTACCCCAAACTCCCATTTTGAAAAACGAAAAAAAAAAAAAAAAGAGAATTCGCCTAACCGTCAATAGTGATAGAAACTGTTCCATTACCCAGAATTATAGAAACCGCTTTTTTGTATTATTGCCCCTCACCGAATGGGAGGCGCTCATGAAAAAAAAGTTCGGTGGATTTCACTGAATTTTTGATATGATGTACCCTATATTATACTGATCAGAAAATAATTGGGTGACAATCCTGAAAAATGGACAGTTTTCCTGCTACAGGGGATTCAATTCACATTTTGAACACATAAATAGACTAGATGAGTACCTATTTGATTCTGAACTTCTTTTCAATATATCATCTCCATTCCCTATATTCCCTAACAATTATTCATCAAAAAATATTTTGAGGGGGGGTTCCTACCCCTTCAAAAAGTATTTTGAGAAATATAAAACAAAAATACAGTGCTACCGTGAAGAGCATAGGAAAGTGATTAATTACGTGAAATTATGAAAAAAGCTCTCTTGCATGATTGCTCCCTCTCCACCAAGTGAGGGGTGCGCATGAAAAACATTTTTGGTGCATGGATTTCCACTGAATTTCTATGAGGTGCTTTTTGTGATTCCGATCAATTCCGATTCCGATTATCGGTACCGGTTACCAAAAATGAGCAGTTTTTTCGGTGGGGCGTGTTGAACTGATATTTCTCATACTACTTACTCTATATGCCGTCGTTACCCATTGTGAATTTATACTACACTTACTACAGTTCCATCTATACCTAATAATATCAAATTCCATTTTTCTCAGTCGTATTCCATTAGAAGAATCATAAGAAAGTACCTCATTGATCATAATATATGAAAATGAAATCAAATGGTTATTGACCTGAGTCTTTCAGCCAATGGGAGATAAAATGAGTGAAAAGTTGTTATCTTTTCAGATTTGAATTATCCCATTCTCAATCATCATCACAGCCATAATCACATGAAATACAACCACATTATACCTATATTAAAAATCCAGTGGAAATCCATGCACCAAAAATGTTTTTCATGCGCACCCCCCCACTTGGTGGAGAGGAGGCAATCTTGCAAGAGAGCTTTTTCCATAATTTCACGTAATTCATCACTTTCCTATGCTCTTCACTGTATTTTTGTTTTATATTTCTCAAAATACTTTTGGAAGGGGTAGGAACCCCCCCTCAAAATATTTTTTGATGAATAATTGTTAGGGAATATAGGGAATGGAGATGATATATTGAAAAGAAGTTCAGAATCAAATAGGTACTCATCTAGTCTATTTATGTGTTCAAAATGTGAATTGAACCCCCTGTAGCAGGAAAACTGTCCATTTTTCAGGATTGTCACCCAATTATTTTCTGATCAGTATCATATAGGGTACATCATATCAAAAATTCAGCGAAATCCACCGAACTTTTTTTTCATGAGCGCCTCCCATTCGGTGAGGGGCAATAATACAAAAAAGCGGTTTCCATAATTCTGGGTAATGGAACAGTTTCTATCACTATTGACGGTTAGGCGAATTCTCTTTTTTTTTTCGTTTTTCAAAATGGGAGTTTGGGGTAATAATTCCCCCTCACTATATTTTTTTCAAAAAGCATATATAGTATAGGAGAAATTAGATGGAATAAAAAATTCTAGAATATTGTTCATTCTCTCAGAAATAAATAATCAATTCGGTTAAAATGTGAATTCAACCCCCCCTAGCAAAAAAACTGTTCATTTTTGGGGGTTGGCGCAATGCCAATATGTAATTGAATCAAATGAACTACATCATACCAAAAATTGAGAAAAATCCACCGGGACCCAAATTACCTTGAAAATTTGCGGGGTCCTTTCCGGTGAAGTAGTTATCTGTCACAATATCTTTTTTTCAGAAATTCAGCAAAAGTCAGGAAAAGAGCTATGGCATTTTCAAATATCAATACAAATCTTGGATTGAGAAAGTTGAAATAGACGATTCTACAGATATCCATCCTTGGCAGCAGTTCAGACAGACTACCGATGGAGAATACAAGTACAAGCCAAAGGATACTGCCAGGTTCAAAGCAAGACATACGTCCGTGTTCAAATTCAAACCATTTTCCAGTCGAAGTCGGTCTAGATAATTTAGTGTTTTTTATAGTTTGAGCTATTATTTCCAGTTCTCATAAAAATATATATGGTACCAAAATCAAATTCGTTTATAATAGTGTAATAGAATGGCGATCGTTGATTTGACTACGTTGATGATATGACTGGAATATCTAAGAGAAGCGAAATTTCCAAGTGTCGACAACATGAAATCTTGGTGTCTAGACCTTTACCCAATTCCCCTCATATCATATTACGTTTACAATATCCGAAAGACCTCCATTTCATCAATACACCCTGTTTCGAGACAAATTAATGTCGGATTAAAATGATCAACATAATAACTTCAAAGCCACAACTACAGTACTAAACGTATATATCACAATTTACTTAAACAAATCTTTATTCCTTCGTCTCTCGCTGCATTTTTTGTGCATTGAACAACAGCACCAATGTGATGGCATGCTTGAATCAATAAATATCCCAAAACACGATTCTCGTATGCCAAAATTATTGTGAAAAACTATTTAAACTCTATGAAAACAAATAAAAAAAGTGAGGTTAGTGAGATTGTTCTACCTCCAGGATCAGTCATCTGATATTTTGTGCACGCGACCTATTGCTATGCGTTGCGTACAAAGAGCCATTTTTCCGCGAAGTTAACCACACAAACCTAGTCAACAATAAGTTAACCAGTCAATTTTCCTCGAGGTGTATTCCAAACTATGACGTAATAGTTAACCAACCACACAAACCAGCTCACTGAGGTAGTTCACAGAGTAGTTAAGGCTTTTGATTGGGTACTGGATTGCGGATTGGACTCTTGTTGTTATAATCTGAGATTATATAATCGATACGAAAAATTCATTGAGATCTCATCATATTATTGATGGAGATAATTATTTGATTCAACGTAAATATTTACGTGGCAAATTGTTCCAATTTTTCTAAATTTGAAGTAGGTCAGTACCTAGCTCCTAGCTATGATAAATATTTGTTACAGATTATGAATTATCTACTTAATCAATATATTTCTATTACTCAAGGTATTACTACTCAAACCTAAAAATTAACAAAAACAGCTGATAAACTGACATCTGTCAAGCTTCACAAGTAAACCGTGACGTCATCATAAAGTTACCGTGACGTCATCATAAAGTTAACCTGGTTTGTCTGGTTAGGTTCCAGGAAAGAACTGTCAGATGACCGACCCTGGAGGTGACACATTGAAACACAACCTCACTTTTCTCATTTGTTTACAAATGATTGAAATAGTTTTCCACAATTATTTTGGCATAGGAATCGTGTTGTTCGGCTATTCATTAATTCGCGCATGTCATCACATTGTGCTGTTGTACAATGCACAAAAATGCAGCGAGAGACGAAGGAATCCGGTTGGTACATTATGATTTGAAAGTAAGTACCTACTATAGTCACTCACATATTGTTTTCATTTTGAAATTTGGTAATTTCTCTGATTTCTCATCGGAATTCATTCTGCAAGGAGCTAATAGAATTACTTGTGAAATTTATAAAAGAAGATTAGATTCATGCAATCAAACGGGAGGACTGGTCTGACATGCTGACGAAATATGATCGTATCTACTAGCAGTACTAGCTTCTGTTGCAGAAGTGGCAGAAGGAATTTTAATAAGAAATGACAAAATTTCATAATGAAAACCATGATAGAAATAAGTAATGGTGTGCGTTGTCGGCCATTTTTACGTATTGAAAACTTGAGAAAAATCCCTCGACCGCCACTATGATTTCTCTACGTCATATCGAGCGAGACGTTGATTCTACATTTTTCCGCTAGATGGTAATGCTGCAATTGCTGCTGTGACGAGTGGAAATAAAATGGCAAATGGCATTTTAGGTACGCGGAACATATGAAACAGTGGGATTATTTAACTCTGAATTCTAAAAATCTGCGGCAATTTGAAAAATTGACCGATGTCATAATTGTGCAATGTCGCCATCTATTAGAAGATCGACGGAACCATTGCTCTCGCTGTTCTCGAGAGGTCGAGTAAAATTTCTGAAACAAAAGCACATCAGTAATTACGCCATATCTTACTTCCATCATTATGAAAACTATGTGAGATTACTATTTACCTGAAAAATCATATTCCTTCGTCTCTCGCTGCATTTTTTGTGTATTGTACAACAGCACAATGAGAAAGCATGCTTGAATTAATGAATAGCGCAAAAAACACGATTCGTGTGGCAAACTATTGTGAAGTGATATTGTTTCAATGTTTTACAGAAAAGTGAGGTTGTGTTTCAATATTTTACCTCCAGGGTCGGTCATCGTGACCTATTGTCATCATTTCAGTGACAAAGGTCATAGGTGGATAGAGGTTAATAATTTCGTCATTCGTTACAATTTCATGATGAATGTTCCGCATTTTCATTCAATTTATATAGTTAGTGGAAAAGTCACGTCAAAAAAAGTCAAAATTGTTAGTACAAATTATTCTTGTCTGAAATCGATTATTGCGATGTGAATCTGAACATTTATATTCAGGGAAATTTTGCACAAAAACTCCAACCAAACTACCGAAAAAAAAATGGTTGAAAAAATAATTTTTCTCTGAAATATTCTTACTCATACTCGTATTAATGATTTTGCCACTATCTTTTTAGGAATCAAGTGGATTTTCAGGAACAAAAGGAAGAACAATAGCAAATATTCAAAAACATGTCACATACTGTCTATTTCACGAAAAAATATGAAATATATCACACTGTATGAACAATAAATCAAGGTTTCAACTGGTGAAGCTTCCTGTTGAGATCTTCGAACTTCAAGATTTTTCTGATGAAGAAGTCGCCGTATCTGTGTGCTACCTTAGTATCGGCGATGTGAATCATGTCATTGTCAATGTAGAAGTCAAGCTGGAAAAATTCATGAGAATCACAAATCGGAAAATGTTCCGATATTTATAAAGTTAAATCACTTTGGTATTCAATAAGTTTGTTCCAGGTTTCATGAGTACTTCGTACTTCAGTTAGTTTGTGAAATGCAAAAAAACCCGCTGCACATTTCAATACTTGAGTTTGAGAAAGTTAGGTTAAGGAATCAAACTAATCACTCCATAAACAAAAGGTCTGTCTTTTGTTTGCTCTACCTGCTAAAATTGATTTTTTTCTATGACTCTCTGTTTACATCATGTGATGAACAACTGTAGGAACTAAATCAATTAGCAAGTTGAGCAACACAAACGAACAGACCTAAAATACACTCTATAGGCATCCGAATCACATTTGATATTGAGAATGCTATTTCAAGACCTGTGAATTCAAACGCTACTGAGCTGTGATGTCAGTGTCTTCTTGCAATTTGATTGGTTTGAGTTCTGAAGGCTGGGAATCACTCCGATGTTGCCAGATCTTTATAGAATCCTTGAATTGATCCTCTGTGCATGATGGTGCAAGGAATGCAAGTTTATAATAAAAGTTTAATAAAGTTTATATTACCTATTAATAAAGGATGCATTTTAATCATTTGCTCTCATTTACTGACCATTTTGATTCCACGGTGTCATGATATTTCATCTCCTTCATGAAACAAGAAGGTAACATTATGTACGTTGAACATCTATAGTGTAGTTTATGAATCTGGCATTTCTGTTAGTGACATGTCTGCCAAAAATATTTTTTTCTATATCTTGAGGCTGCAGTGCATACTCAGCTATGATGCCTTTATTGTATCCAAGAGAAATTCAGCCACTATTAAGAAAAAAATATGTACCCTTTTGTAGGTACTTGTCTTCTGCGTAAAACGAGCATTCCAACCTCAATAAATAAAAAGGTTAGTGACAGTGACATATAAATAAGAATACCATCCTAACCTTTATATTGAGGTTAAAAAGGTATTTTTCTAATTTTTTGCGTTATGAACGTATGTTCTCTGTCGACGATTATGAATAAATGAAATACTGGAAAACAATTTTTATTTCCAGGAAACACTTTGAAATACTCACAAGAAAGAATCTCAATTGAAGTTGCTCAACCTGCTATAGCTGATTTATTTTTTGAGTTCCTCAATGTTCCCTAAACTACTGAAATTGATTTATTTTCTATGATTATTTCTGTTCATCACACTACTTGAACAAAAATTGTCAAGAAAAAAAAACTTTTTAAGGTAAAGCAAACACACCAATCTGTCCTGTGTATCTTTATACTAGTTCTACTTTACACCATGTGTATATTTCAATATGCCGATTTTCTCGATCAAAATGTCCAACTACACCCCCAAAATACAACGAAAATAATTATAACATAATTTCAGTTCTGTTGCCTATTTGAAACAAAAGTCGAAATGAAGACTCAGAAAAGAAAAAAACACAACTTACCTCTGAGCCGCTCTGGAACTTCCCTTCCAACCCGGAAGCCCCCTTGGACCACACCACGTTCTTCATCTTGTGCTTGAAGCACAGCAGGTGGATGATCAGGCTCTGCATCTCCTTGTCTAAGTCCCGCTTGCCTTCTGTCTTCCCGCTCTGGGACATGAAGGTGGCTAACTTACTGAGAGGCAGGGTCGTGTACAGCTTCAAGTAACTCCTGGATTAATAAGAAATCTAGAGTTTATAGGGCCCCAAAACACTAGACATTCGCAAGTTCTTATTGGTTACAATGGATCACGTGATGCATTTCTGACGTAAGTGTAATCGCAATCGCACCGATAAATGAGTGCAACTAATTGACCCAGATATGCCTAATGTCCTATATGTAGTACACCTATTCTAGCTCTATTCCTTCCAACACTAGCGCCATATTTCTATAAGTAGCAAGACTACACATTCATTCCACATGAAATGATTATGGAAATGTCAAAAATATTCACAGACTTGCTTGATTTGTATTTTGAAGTAAGGTTATTTGATCAAATGGATTATTATAATGTACTTTGCTTGGTGAGCTATTTTTTCATTCTGATTGTTATGTTCAAATCCAATTTGTGGTCTCAATGCTCTTAACTGGGCTGGTGGCCGTGAGCGTAGAGTCGCTGGCTGTTGCCCAGGCGGTCCGGGTTCGATCCCCGGCGCGAGCACTGAATTAATTTTCGGTAGTTTCGTTGGGCGGGAGGAGATAGGTGGCCAACCCAACATTCTTGGTACCTAGATATCAATCCTTTGGACTGTCCACGGTTACCAGCCGAGTAGTGCTTCGGATGACACTTAAGAAGCTAAGGTCCCCGTCTTCTTAACTCACACAAGTCTCTGACTTTCGAGGGTTGCTTTGCAACTAAGCTGGCGGTTAAAAACACTTTTAAACACTTTTTTTTAATGACCAGGTGTCTCGTATCATTGTTTTGAGCATTCAACATTCATGATATTTGTTTTTCATATCTCGAGTTCATTGTTCCAGTCCTACATATAGGACATTAGGCAGCTATATGACCTTTGTTCATTTGGCAGAGTTTTTTCTTCTATAGAGCAATCGCAATATTGGAAGAATCTGAGGAAGAAACGTTGAATGCAATAATTCAGGATATAACAATTTTTCCTTCGACCAACGCAACTAATGAGTTTAAAGATGGCGATTCGGGCGAGAACACTTTTCAATAAACAAGATGCCAGGATTTGAACTTCGAGCACCAGTTGAGCTTCAGAGGATGATGTGGCATTATCTATCTAGATAAAGAAAAATGATAGAGGAAGAGGAAGAAACCCATGAAACTGAAGGCAAGAAAAATGGAAAGTTGGATAGAAACAGATTTGCCAACTATAGAATGCTATTGATGATGAAGAACAAAAAAAATTCTATTGCCCTACTGGAATTATCCTCAAAAATTTTCGACGAACCAATTATGGAACTTATATGAAATCGAACGAAAATATATGAAATTGAAGTGTCATGAAATTTTGTTACCAAACCTCAGATATGGATTCAGTACTCCAAAATACGGATGGAACGAAAGAAACCAAAACCACCCCGTATCTTTCCTAGTAAAAATACAATTCAACGATTACTACCTGATGGTCGGCAACGTCTTCTGCTGCGCCACCTCATCCATGAACACCCCTGTCTGGTGCTGGATCGCCTCCTTGGAGTAGTCCCCCGGCACGGAGTCAATGGCGGGTGGGTAAGGGGAAAGGAACTTGGGGCAGGCGAACACGAAGCAGTTCTCAAATTCCTGCAGGTCGCCGTACTGCATCTTGTACATCTTCTCGTGGTAGCTCTTCTCCCTGGTAGAACGAAATTTGATAATAATTGAGGGGTCTAATCACTGCATTCTTCTCTGTGTATAGAAAAGTCACTGTTTCGGATGAAGGCGTCACTGTTTCATATATCCGGCTCGAAGGACCACATAATGTTATTTGTTTGTTTTTCCAATAGAGTCAATTAGAGCTCGTTTCAGAACTCACCTCAGAAGCATTTTTAGCAATCATTCGACGGTTTGTACCTCGCAGAGGAAAACCACACGATATCTATTCAGATAACGACTCTAATTTTGCCGGTGCCAAAGCCGAACTGATTGAAATAAGCGAGTTTTTCAAGGAACAAGGTAATCACGATTCGGATTAGGCCGACTTCTGATGTTCTGTTGACTGTTCATTTAACTGAATCTTATAATTCATTATTCATATTCCTTTTGTGTGATTTCGACGAATATAATATTTATAATTCAATGAAAAGCTGGAATACTGTAGTGTCATGTTCCATATGACTACAAAAAATTACGCATTTTTTCAAAAAACATGGTATCTATCCTGAGAGAGGTTATAATTGTAATTTATGCTTAGAAGAATTCGATATGTATTCAATGAGAAAACAGAGAGATTGCAAATCTTGTCTTTCTGTACAAGATCATCAAAAATTGCAAAGATTCTCCGAATCTTTTGTCAGCCCCCGATTTCAATGTCTCAAGAATTACATCTAGAACAAATACTACTTTCACCTTTTCTATACTTAACTTTCGAGATCAATCTCAAAGCTCTTTTTTGTAGTTTGAATATTCTTATGGAATCAACTGCGTTTACCCAGAGAGTTAAGTACGCCATAGTTGATAATTATGAGGATGAAAAAGACCAAAGTATGCTGTTTTCAAAACTATTGGGCAAGCAAATCTACTTAATTTTCCTAATAGGAAAATATTTTAGCTTAATTTTTTACTCACATATTCAATATGAGCTAACCACTTCAATTTGTCATCCATGACAATACCAAGCAGCTCAACTTTTTATCATTAAGTTTCAAAGTGTTAGATATGAACCACGTTTCATTTTTAGTGGAGAAATCTTGGACAATATTGTCCAACTGGTCAATGCTTTTGTCAGACACATAAAGAGTACAATCATCTGCATAACAAACACATTTAGTTGGACCCATATAATGAAAAATATCATTGATATAAATATTAAATAAAAGTGGTCCAAGGATAGAACCCTGAGGGACCCCAAGCGAGATATTCTCAATTTCTGAATATATGTTAAACCACTAAATAAATACATTACCTCAGCGTTTGCTGAATGGACTCGTCGACACACTGCGGATGCAGCACCAGGCAAATGGCCAGTAAATTGTACATCTGGTCGGTCTGCTTGTTGATCTGGTCGTGCTGGTAGGTCTTCGAGGCGAACAGCTGCTTGGTCCTCTGGATGTACAACAGGATGGAGGAAAAGGTGCGAATGGCGTCCGCGTACCGCCGCATCATCATGTACGCGAAGCCCACATAGTACGAGGTGGATATCTGGCAGGCGGGGATGTGGGCGTACTGGGACTTCTTGTGTACTTCGATGTTCTCCAACACCTTTTAGGCCAGGAGATGATGACAGGTTACGATCTCCCATTTTACACTACATGCCTTTTCAAGGCTTCATTATCAACCACAAAATATGACAAATAGGCGGGTTCCTGGCCATACGGAAAAGCGCTTTTCTTTTTGTGAAGAATCTTCACTTTGCGATATTATACTGCCTGCTGTTGTAATATACGGAAGTTCAAATAAGCTGAAGCACTAATAATTGCATGCAATCCGCAGCGGCCGAAAGGGCACAAAAGAGTTACGAAAAACTGAAGAAAATGAAAGGGGGGCTTTTCGAATTGCATGTGGATGTAAAGAATTGAAGTTTTAGTAACAAAAACACTCCCAAAAAAAATGACATGCGTTCCTTGTCTGACCAACGTATAAAAAATTCGGGAAAACTCGGTGAAAATTTAATACAGGTTTTCCGTTAATGCAAACTGCATGCCATTAGTGAGATACTTCATTATTTGTATAATCAATTAATAGGTAATTTGGCATGCACACCAGGATTTTGCAAAAAAGAGATATGCATGGCGAAAGTTGCAAAAAATGTTCCACTTTTTGCCTCTTCATAGTAATTTTTTCCAATTCGCCGCCATACCAGTTATAATAGGACATGATTGTGTCAAAACCGATTTTTGGGTTATCATGCATAATAGATCCCCGAGAAAAAACATTTGATTTTATGTTAGTAAACTTTTTCCATTTTGTTACGGACTTTTTGGATGGCAACACAGGAATAAGGATTAGGCCGTTAGTACTGGATAAACAAGTTTTCGGCCGAATTGTTATTCAAATGCTGTCTCTTGAAGTCTTAGATATTGACCATGGAGGAAGTTAGAAATTTTGTGCTAATTGTTGGAAGCCTTTTGTCAACGTCAATTATAATTAGTTTGAAAAAACAGAGGGTCTTTTAATTCAACAATTTTTGATCTTATAGAATCTTATAGTGATGTTAACAGTGGCGCTAATTTTATTTTATCGACTGTGTTAGTCATGAGATTCTATCTATCTATCTGACAGTCAGCAAATTTTTAAAATAAACAATACTAACAGTAATCCCTTAGGCATTATGCAAGGTGTCTCACAACGATGAATATTAGGCCCCCTCCTATTTCAAGTATTTGCCAACGACATCATATCATGTTGAAAAGGAATATTCTCAGATAAATTATGAACATACAAAAATGGATATATATTTATATAAAGCAATACATTGAGAATTCGCATTCTCTATGTGATGAGAATATTTACTCTTTTTCAGTTAATTCAATAGAAAACAACTACTTTCCTGGCTATATGCCACGACGAACATTGAATTATATCTATTGAACAATTTCATACCCAATCAGGGGGTTCAAACTTGAACGATGGAAACTTGTGATTTTTATAGACCTCTAATCGCAGATTCGTGATAGAGTCTCAATTCAGAATTCATTTCCACGCCCTGTATGATGAATGTCAATTTATCATACACCCAAAAGACATCATATCATACTTGAATGAACACAATAAAATTATTACAATATGCTATGCAAATGCCCACACCACACGTGCAAATTAAGAATATTTACAAGAATTTTATGACAACCGTGTGATAAGTCGAGGAGTTAATCCTTCTTTTCCAACACGTTCTCCAGATTTGACGCCTTTTGATTTCTGCCTTCTTGGATATTTGATAGACGAAGTATCCAAGAGGGACAATAATAACCTTGAAGAGCCGCAAGCCTCAATAACACATTGTTGCCAAAATATTGTCTCGGAAATGCTGAGGAACATTTGCGACAACAAACGGCGAAGAGTTTTGAAATGCTTGGAGAACAACGGAGAACATTTTGAACGTAGATTAATGAGATAAACCGTTATTTATTACTTTTGGGTGTATGATAAATTGACATTCATCATACTGGGCGTGGAAATGAATTCTGAATTGAGACTCTATCACGAATCTGCGATTAGAGGTCTATAAAAATCACAAGTTTCCATCGTTCAAGTTTGAACCCCCTGATTGGTATAAAAGTGTTGAAAAGGAATATTCTCAATAAATATTTTTGATTTGTTCCATTATTTTTCAAACTCCAATATTGGACTCTCCTTTCTTTGAGATACATTTCCATAGTGTATGCAAAACGATATAAAAAAAAGATCCTGTATATGATCACTTCCTCTCTTTTTGGTCGTTAAATGTTGGTAACAGCATTAGTAGTAAGCGGCAAATGGAAAGAAATGTCAACAGCCACTACAATGTTACGATCATTTATAGGGCACTGGGACGAAATAGCGCAGGACAAAATAGCGCGGACAAAAGAGCGCAGGACAAAATAGCGCAGGGACGAAATAGCGCAGAGACGAAATAGCGCAGAGACGAAATAGCGCAGGGACATAATAGCGCAGAGACAAAATAGCGCAGAGACAAAATAGCGCGCGAAAATGGAGTGCAGGATCTATGATTAGGTTTGTTCGTTTGTTAGAGTAAAGACTATGCCGGGATTGGCGCAGTGGAAGAGCGTCCGTCTCACGACCGCAAGGTCGTGGGTTCGATTTCCAGCACGGGCAAGGAACTTTTTTCAATATTTTATTTACGAATTAAATATTGTGAAGTTTCGGAGCATCGGCTGGGGATAGTCCTGCACGATTCGCTGTTGCGTTCCAATTGACAGTGCTGCTCCTAAAGTGGCGCATGGAGTTAGTAACAAAGCCTACATAGAACACGCAGAAAGATATGATGATGTGGTTGTGAGCATCAGAGAAGAAGTAGGACGGTGTATGTAGGTGGGTGTGGAAAACTACCAGCTGAGCGTGAGAGCGGGCCAGCTGCTTAAGTAGACCTCGGTCTCGGGGGTTAACGATGATAGTTAGCAGGCCTGCCACTGCGCATATGGTAGTGAGTACATTACTAGCCTACAAAACACAGCTGAAAAACTCTGAAAAGAGAGCTGATGGGCGGTGCCTGAAAAGGATGTTAGCCAGCTCTCTTGAGCGAACCACATCAGTCATTGAAAACACTTGGGGTTGGCAAAAAGGTCCCATTGGGGACTAGTTGCTGACGTGGAAACGTCCCCAACCAGTACCAGTACCAGTAGAGTAAAGACTCATTCTTCAAATACAAGGTGTTTCAAAATGAGTCTATACCCTAGCAAACAAACTAACCTAATCATAGGTCTACTTTAACAATCCAACGGCATACCTAGTATTAAATTACTTCGTTTGTAAGGGTAGTCTCCTTTTGAAACATCTAGTATTTGAAGAAATAGTCTATGCCCTGACAAACGAATTAACGTAATCATAGATGATGCACTACGTTTTCGCGCTCAAATTTGTCTCTGCGCTATTTCATCCCTGCGCTATTTCGTCTCTGCGCTATTTTGACCCTGCGCTATTTCGTCTCTGCGCTATTTCGTCTCTGCGCTATTTCGTCTCTGCGCTATTTCGTCTCTGCGCTATTTCGTCCCTGCGCTATTTTGTCCGCGCTATTTCGTCCTGCGCTATTTTGTCCTGCGCTATTTCGTCCCAGTGCCATTTATAGAGACCCTGTACTGTATTTGTGGTCTCGCTCATTAATTCTGCATCACTCTCCATCCACCGACTCACCTTGATAGCCTGATAGTAGTCCCCCAACAAGGAATGCAACCGCAGCAGCCCGACCAGCGAGAAGTACCCCAGCATCTTGTAGAGCGAGTGGCCGCCGAACTCGCCCGACACGGACTCGGGATCGCCGCCGCTGGCATACACTTCCAGCTGCTGCTTGATGTTGCTCTTGTCGACCAGCGAGTGGAGGACGTTCAGCACGCACAGCACGTTCCACACCTTGTTGTTCGAGTTGAGCGTTTCCAGCTCTTGGGGCTTCTTGCTCTGCAGCCGCGCCCTGTAGAATCGCTAGTATTCATTCAGCACACAGCCAAAGTAGTGATGGGCAGAATCCAGTATTTTCGAGAATCGAATACCAGTACTTAGTATCCGAGTGCATCGTACACAGAACCTGTGCTACAATGCAACACTCAACTGTGTTTTGCACTTGTTTGCGTTTGCTCCGTTGCCATCAATGTTTATGTAGTATGTGATGAACAGAAATGACCTCAGATCATTCCTGTATGATCTGAGGAAATTCCAAAAAAAAAAGCTTGTAAAATAAAAGCTCAATCAACCTTAGCAGGTTAGAGGTTAAGCAACACTAAAGGTCGCGTGCAAGAACTGTCCGATGACCGACCCTGGAGGTGAAACATTGAAACACAATCTCACTTTTCTTATATGCTTACAAGTGATTGAAGTAGTTTTTCACAATTATTTTCGCTATTCATTAATTCGCGCATGCCATCACATTGTGCTGTTGTACATACAATGCACAAAAAATGCAGCAATAGACGAAGGAATCCGGTTGGTACATTATGATTTAAAAGTTACCTACTATAGTCACTCACATATAGTTTTAATTTTGAAAGTTGGTCATTTATCTGATTTCTCATCGGAATTCCTTCTGCAATAGGAGCTAATAAAAATACTCGTGAAATTTCTGAAAGAATGCAAGAAGATTGGATTCATGCAATCAAACGGTAGGACTGGTCTGACGTGCTGACGAAATATGATCGTGTGTGTTGTCATTTTAATCTATGGTGTTGTACATTTTCAATCTATTAGCAGTATTAGCTTCTATTGCAGTTGTGGCAGAAGGAATTTCAATAAGAAATGACAAAGTTTTGACTCCAAGTAAGTCAAGAACAAATTATGTAATTCTTTCACATCGATCTTTTTGTATCATAACTTCCAATTAGGCTGAAGATTGTCTTTCATAAGACCGAAACATGTCCCTTATGAGTGTGTAACAACACCATTGAAATTTGTAGAGATGACTTCGAGCATTCCTTCCTTCCTTTGAAAAATTCCACATCACTTTGAGCAATATGGACTTCTACCAAAGATTCATCACACTTGTTGAATAAAGTCCGCCCTCCCCCTGCTGCTGGGCGACTTGAGGCCTACCTAGACGGTTTTTAATGTGTATTTTTTATTTGTAATGTCTTGTATGTTCATCTATCGATACAAGTTATAATTAGGATTTTATTTATACCAGTGTTCGTATGTAAATGTTTTTATCTACTCACTACATAGAAAGTTAGCGTTGGCTCCCTCATTTGAGGACACAAACCTGTCAATTTACTACTGTCTACTGCTTCCTAGGTAGAGATATACACATAGGATTTGTGCTACCAAAGTACCTAATCAGTGTGTCCATCACTACTATAAAACAAATAATTTCATTTTCCAATGATCTCGCTACGCGTCGGGCATCAAACTTCACACGCGGGAGGAAATGGATACCTTTGCTCCCTTGATATATAAATAGCTATTAATAAGTTCATTCGGGTTCGAACAATTACTGTTATAGAACTGTCAGGAGTTTTCCCAGTAGAATCGGTCGCGTACGGGTGTTGTGACTGTTGTGGCACTGTTCTAGGACTCTTTACGCGTTCGGGTATTTTCAGAATCGTCAGGGACGGTCCTAGAACTATCCGAAATCAGTTCCTGCTCTCGGGCGTGAATCGTTCTGGGATTATTTGTGGCGGATGCTCATTTTATTTAGTTTTTGATTCTGTCTTCGGTAACGTAACGTCATTGTTTATTCTACTGTTTATTGCTCTTTTCAATATTTTCTCAATATTATGGATTTAGGATTTAGTACATTTATTTGATAGTAGTAGTGAAGGAGTTCCTTGCTGAAGTTGCTGAAAATATTGTACCTAATCTGATAATTCTAGAAGATTTGTTAGATACACCGAAAAATGAAGGGTTATGCTGAGGAAACTTTGCCATTATATTCAGATACACAATTCCTTGAACATAACAGGTTGGTGTCGAAATCCGTGTAGGTACAGGGTGATTCACCATAAATGTCCCCCCCTCTAGCTCAGTTATTTTTGAACCGATTTCAAAATTTGAAATATCATCTCAAATGATTTTCGATAAAGTTTTTTTTCTGCTACATCAGAAGATACAGGGTACTGGGAACAAACGATCTACAGGGTACTATTTGATTTTTTTGAATGAAACACCCTATTTTTCATTGTATTTTCAGATTCTCCCTGAAGAGCTGATTTCATCGATGCATCACACTTGGGGTCTAGCGAAAATGATTACAGCGATATAGGGTGTTCAAAATCGATATTTTTCAACTTTAGGATTTTTCTGTGACGAAACTATTCATTATCGGTTAAAACGACTTTCATGTCCGTATCTTAACTTTTGTTTTACAATCTACTGACATTTCATAATTGGAACATACACAGGGTGATCGGAATTCTGAATCTTGAACCAAACTGTATATGTTCCAATTAAATGTCAGTAGATAGTAAATCAAAAGTTGATAGGACATCAATGCCGTTTTGACCAATAATGAATAGTTTCGACAGAAAAAATACTAAAGTTGAAAAATCTCAAATTGAACACCCTATATCTCTGTAATCATTCCCGCTAGACCCCAAGTGTGATACATTGATGAAATCAGCTCTTCAGGGAGAATCTAATAATACAATGAAATACAGGGTTTTCCATTAAAAAAAATAAAGTAGTACTCTGTAGATCGTTTGTTCCGAGCACCCTGTATTTTCTGATGCAACGGAAAAAAGTTTCTGAAAAATCATTTTAGATGATTTATGTTTGAATCGGATAAAAAATAAGTGCGCTAGAGGGGGGGACATTTATGGTGAATCACCCTGTACAAAGGACAAAACACGTTGAAAATCTAGCTACAAGTGCTATGATGGAATACATTTACCATTCCTCCACAAAGGGTTTCCAGAGGTATTGTGAATAAACTCAAAGGAGAGTTTGAAGCTTAAAAATTTTATTCCAATAAAGTTACAGGTTTCAAACTACTGTTTTGTTGCAAATTCTTAATAGAGGTTATGGTCTCAGAGGTTCTCTTCGCCGCGTTCGGGTTTTCATAATTTGTGAACCGTTATGAAACAGTCCTAGGATTCGAAACGACTGCGCACTAGTTCTGCGCAGTTCGAGAACGATTTTTGAACAGTTCTGAAATTGGAACCCGAATGAACCAAATATGAGAATAAATAAATTTCAACTAGCTGGAGAGTTCAGCGTCCGTCTGCCTGAGGTCCCGTGTTCAGTCCTTAGGAAATTCAACTTTTCATTTTTTTTTTATTTTGTTGTCTCAAGTAATTTTCCGAAAAATATACCTCATATAAATATGGTTTATTAGGCCGTATTAGGATAGATTATTTGGAAAAAGTAGTCTACCTTTGTTTTCACTAGAAATTATCCGAAAAATATACTTTTTAGATGTGAAAAACTTCCACAAAATTTTGTACATGAATTGTGAGTGAAAAGCTTCAAGACAATCATATTATACGACTTCGCAATTAAAAAAAATCTCTTCATGTTGAAAACGGGAGCAGAATCGGTCCCGAAACGTCCAAAGATAAGTGAAAATTTGATATTTTTTCTGTATACCTTTATTTCTCTTCTCCAAAAATTTTTCAATACAAATTGTCACTGACAAGCTAGTGAATTTTTCTTTTAGGCTCTCTGATAGGAAGATTCTTTAAACGCAGTGACATTTTGGGGCAAATCATCTGATTTGTCCTTACTACACGTATATTGAAATAATATTCATATTTTTATTTTATAGAAACGAGGAGAGAAAATCCCAAAAAATTTGGAATAATGAGTGAGGGTAATGATTGTAAATGTACACATTTCAATTTATATTTGTAGTCGCCCTGATGATGGAAATATACATAAGCTCAAACAAACTGTTATGAGTTCACCTTTACTTTACTGCAATCCCCACTAGCTAGCTAGTTTTATCTCTAACGTTTCAGCAACGACTTCCCATCCTTCCTTGTACTATATTTACATGTATATTTACGCATCCGTATTCAAACTTATTCATGACAGTCATGAACAGTTCTTGCCCAAAGGCTAGTACTACTCTGGACCTGTTCAAAACTGTCCCAAACTAGTTCGTATAAAACGAAAACCGAACTTTCAGACTGTTAACTTTGTGAACGCGATCAAACCTGAAGACTTCAATGCCACCTGAAACACATTACCTGTACTGGGCGAACGACTGGAACTGGTAGACGAACTCGTCGATGAGCTCCCACAGCCACAGGTCGGGCAGCTCGAGGGGCACCGGCTCCTCGGCGCTGAGGATGTAGTTGAACAGGTCGCAGTAGTTGAAGAAGGAGTTGAAACGCTGCTCGATCGTGGGGCCGCCCTGTATCCTGGCGTAGATGTGGCGGTAGTAGAGCTCCTTGTAGAGGATCATGAACACCTGGAAAACGTTTCGATTCGCTGACGCGTTAGAATATACAAAGTTGCTGGGGTGGCGTGTGGAGTTGGTAACAAGGCCTACACCGTACTTGCAAAAAATAACTCAAAGGAGATCGATGGCTAGTTGGTCTAATCACCTTAATATATATTACTTTTTTTTCAGTATAAGACAATACAACTTAAACATGTGTATAAACAGGGTGGAGACTTTAACTTGAATGAATTCGCTACTGGGGGAGTGAATCATTTTTCTGAAAATTCGCGAGACACGTCAACGTTTATATGTATTTACCTACATTTGGCAAGCAATATGGAGAATATAACCCTCCAGGGGTAGCTAGTATCAACCCCAACATGTTTATTTCAACCCTATGGCTTGCGACCCCTCATTGGAAAGCTGGTTGAAAGAGGAATCCAGCGTACTGATCATATTTCAGTTTGCAGTACGTTTGGGGGTTGCATAATATCAAAATATAATTTCGAAGTAATATATTTTCAACGTATTTTCATAAAAATTTCGACTTTTAGTGAAAGAGATATAGGGCATTTCCACCAGTTTGCAATAACACTTCGTTTCGACCTGTGAATACGGCAAAAAAACTAAATTTCTTTTTTCGGCTCTATAAAAACACTGGAATACAATAGCACATAGCAGTTGTGGCAAAAAATTGCCATCAATTGTTCAACACAGATTTTGAGCAATTGATACGTTGAAAAAAAAATTCTTGAAATTACATTTCGATTGTATGCAACCTTTAAACGTATGAAAAACGAAAATTTGACAAGTACACTGAATTCTCCTTTCCAATAGCTTTTCAATGAGGGGTCACAAGCCATAGGGTTACATTTGAAATATTTGCACTTATTTCAATGCCACCCTATAGCATAAATTAAATTAGAATAATATAATTCCAGATGATTCAAGTGATTATTTGCATATTTACATCAAATAATTAACAATAACAAAACTGTAGATGCTCCAGATGAAGTATTACCAATAATGTAGAATATTAAAATAGAGATATTAATAATAATGAAGACTATTAGTAATAGGTAACGATGGTGATCAAAAATAGTAATATAAAGATACCAATGGGGCCTAATCCTAAATTAAATTATACTACATTTACAAGTACCGTTTCGGGTCTTTTTGAAATAATCTAAAAGTGTCTATATTTTTCAATGTCATTGCTAATGAGCTGTTCGGTCGTATCCATTCTAACATTAGCGAGATCTTCTAATCCTAATCTATCACAAACTGTATTCATTGAATGCATACTATAAACACCTCTACTTTGACACTCTTAGATACTTCTTCCTCTAGCAATACCTCCATATTAAGTCTTCATAGCTTTCAACATTGACTGCTCAATCACCATATCTGTTGAAGTTTCACAACTAAATTTGTCTGAACGTCTGAATGTAAAAAATCCTCATGTAAATGTTTCGTAAACTCCAGGATCTATCAAGTTCTGTAATTGTAGCATTTAGGATTCTATATGTGATTCAAAATGACCTTACAAAGATAAAATTATGGTGTGACTGTAATTCATTGTGCTTCAATGTTAGCAAAACAAGCATCCTCAGTTTCAGGTGTGCTTCTGGTAATGTAGCTCTTGAAAACAGTGAGGTAGAAAACCTGAACTCTAGAAAATTTCTAGGCTTGATCATTGACAATAGATTGAATTTCAATGAACATATTGCGCAGTTATGTTAGAAATTGTCTACCTCATTACCTCAAAGGTGGCGTAGAAACGTGTGCATTATATGACGCTTACAACTCTTTGAACTTGAATCGTTATATGTATAAATCGGTGGATCTTTGAAAAAAAAGTAATTGCACGTTTTTTATAGATCCTATCTACAATAATTTTTGTCTCGGCTAACTTTATGATTGAACTCACCATTTTGCTGAAAATCGCGAAAAACCCATTCTTGTGACTTTGACCATGAGTACATTTTTTTCCAGGTGTCAGATCGATGACGACTTTTCAGATCTCATTTATGATGGTTGCGAATTATCGTAACCTCATTCGTATTTTTTTGTGCAACTTGACCGGATTCTATTAAATCAGCATTTAAAAATCATCAGAAAAATATTGAAATTGAAAGTGTTAGTGCAAATAAGATTCGGCATAAAAAAGTTCCCGTCTACTAATATAGAAATTACTTTTACTAGTAGAAATATAATCATGTATAGGATGAATGATAGTAAGTTAACATTGAAAGTAACAATAAATAGCTCAAGTTATATGACATGAGTTTGTGAACTTTTATTCAATCACAAATTCTTCACATTTATTTGATCGTTTTATTATCTCTGGGAGCGTACGAAAGGAACATCGTGCGTGCCTAGATAGGAAAGGGAGACATCCTCTCCCTTGATGAGATGATGGAATTTTTTTCTAACTTTTGGAGGTCATAAATTCTTGGCAATACTTCCATTGGCAAAGAATTCCAAACCTTCGCCGTTCTTCAGACGAACAAGTTTTGGTAGAGTGTTGTTCGACATTTCTCAAAGTTGACAACGATGGGATGTGCTGACTGTGCCTGTCGAGTTCGTCTGACTGGTATTGCTAGTGATGGAATTATAGCCGAGATTTCTGAGGAACATTTCCCGTGGAAGTATCTATAGAAAAGTGAATGGTCGCCGACTTTTCTATGGTGTTCTACAGGGTCAAAGAATCAGTGAGTGTGGCATCACCCACCAGGTGAATAGCTCTTTTCTGGATGGAATCTGAGAGCGAATATATTTGAAAAAATTGAAAGTTATTCAAAAATGTATTTTGATAATTATTATTTATGGATTATCTATTGCCAACCGACCTTTTATACAAAGAATCCCAAAAGATGGATATAAATCAGCTTTATATTTATTGTTTATCAACTTACATGTTCAAAACCAGAAATGATATTAAATTTCAAAAAATACCTATGATTTAAGAAACAAAAACAAAACATTGAAATATAAATCTAATGAAACATTTGACAAAGAAATTATAAATATTGGATTCCTTATTTGTATGATGCGATTCCACATGATATTAAAGAAGTCAAATCCTTTTATTGCTACAAAACTAAAATGAAAAACTGGATATAAGTCTCTTCAGGGAGTTTATTCGCTTCTCTGGTTAATATTTAATATATATTTATACAAAATTTGAAACAGTACTGAATTGTACTTATATCCAATGGTTGAATGAAAAACAATACATTTTTATTCATAAATTAATTGATTGATTTGATAACCATAATTTTAATTTTATATACCTTACAACAAGTTATACATTGTAAGGTTTTCTCTGTTTATTCGATACCAACATGTATACTTTTAATTTATGTTATGTCAACATTTTGAATAAACTTTATTATTATTATCAGCGTATGTTTGGGTGCTGAACCCCATACATGAGAACAGTAATTTCAAAACTGGCATTATCTGTGCTTTGTATATCAACAAAAGCTGTTGAGGTGTAAAGTAGATATTCCCATAGAACAAGAATCCGAGTTTTTGTGAAGCAGCTTTTGCAATGAATTGAATATGATTTTCCCATGAGAGAGTATTGCTGATGGTTTCATCATTAAGAAAAAATAGTCACAAAATTATAATCCAATAACTCATAAATAATTCAATAAATCAATAATCACCTGACCTACATAGCTAACAATAAATCATTATCAAACATCGGTTTTCTGAAATTAAAAGACGGTCAACAGGATTGCCTTCATTGCCTTCGGATATTTTCAGTATTTAAAAAAATATGGAACACTACAAAAATCAGTGGCTATCAAAGGGTGAAGAGATGAAGATTAAACTCAAAGAAGAAATTACTGATAAAAGGAATAAGGTGAAGGAGAGAATTGAAGAAAGTTTAAAAGACGTTTCCTTGAAGGGAAATGAAGGTAATTCCCAGCATATTTTAAATTGATTAATTTTAAGAAAATACACGTTGTCATGCGGCAGACACATAGATATGAAAATGAAGAATTATTTCCCCATTCATTTACATGGGAAATTCAAGTGTACACGGTTCCACAAAGTATCTCCCAAATCGGGCGCCTCTCACACTCCAAACACTTTTTCTGGTGTTTTTATGCTCAAGTGCCACAGAAATTTCGGTGATTGAGGCTTCAATGTTTTTATTAAGAGCTTCCAGGGTCTTGATTCTGATGATGTAAGTACATAAGGGATTTTCGGTTATGTCCACAGCAAAAATTCACAAGGGGCCAAATCAGGAAAGGTTGCCGGCCAGTCCAAATCGAACGTCTTCCAGTTTCATCCCTTCCAAGTGAAGTAACTGTAGTCACTCTATTACTTTTTCTAAACAGTAAGAGTCAATGATTCTATTTCCCAAAACGGCACATTATACTGTCATTTTCTTGCCTCTGCTGGAGCTCATGGGGAGCAATATTGAACCTTAAACGGAAGGTCCGTTGCACAGGGCACATAGACTCCACACAAAAAAAACATGTTCTTCAATACTCCATTATAGTGACTGAAACCGCCAAACTTGAACTTTCCATCCCCTCTTTTGAATTGCCCACTTTCAACATTTCAAAACCACTATCCTCCCTAGGAACGCACGATGTTCTTTGAACATTATAGGGATTCCCTTTCGTGCGCTCCAATCGATTAAAAAAAAAAAGACCTTTCAATTTCAATGTGTTTCCCATGCCATCCAGTACATACATAATATTAATTAAACACTATATCCATCAATATAATAGTTATTTATTGTTTATTAAGCATAATATCCTTACTCTACCAAGTCTTTATATTTACATGCTTCTTATCCACACCAAAAATAAAGTTTTCTCCTTAACACAGAGATCAAACATACACAAACACAACACTAGAAACAAGAACCAAATTTCATTTCAACCTGTGATTACATGGGAGTCAAAGTATTTAACAAACTCCCAGAAAACATTTAAAAAAATTAAAAACATACAAACCTATAAATTTGAAATGAAGAAAATCCTCCTAAAGAAAGCCTACTATTTCATATAGGACTACCTCAATGACCAACTCCAGTGGTGAAAATTAGACAGGGATATCAATGATTTCAAAAGGAATGATTCCAATTTTTAATTTTAATGTGCTTAATGATCAACTGCTCAAATAAATTTTAGCTGTTTGTCTTTCTTTGTTTGTTTGTACTGCATACTTTTGGCATTATCCAATATGTTCATTGTATCCTGTACCTGAGGTTTTTATGGACCACAGTGTGTAAGTAAAAGCCAGAGCTAGGGCACTAAAGTGCTACTTTACACCCGCAAATCCGGGCGATAAAGTACCACTTTACACCCGGTACTACATTAAATTTTATTGGCATGAGGAAAAAAATCAGAATCAGTGGATTCCTAGAAGTTGAGCATCTAATTTAGGTAGATAGATTAGATAGATAGATGAGATATTGAGAGGAATTTTCAAAACCATCTACACATAAACATAAATAGAGGGTCCATGAAAAAGGGATCTATTAGTTAAGTATATTCCTTCAAAAAACATTACATGAAATGTAATTTTTCCTTTGTGGCCCCCATTTTTTTCAACTCAATTATTCAATAAAAACTGATTTCAAATTTGGTACAGTGGTTCAATGTAATTTGTCACATCTTTTGAGCTAAATAAAACAAAACACATTTGTCAAATTATGGAAATAAGGGGAAAGGTTAGTAATCATTCTTTCCCTAGTTGTTTTTAGAAGGAATGAGCACCTATAACAAGACTTCATAGCAAATAATCATAAGATTTCTTCACATTATATAATTTTTCTCACAGCAAATTTGCAACAGGTGTAAAAATTCAAGTAAGTACATTTTTAATGGTTTCAATGTGTGGTACCTGGCTCAAGGCCAATGAGATCAAATAGCTTTCATAAATCTGGCATAATTTGTTTTTTTTTTATAGAGCTGTTTGACAGATTGATGAAATTTCATCAATTTTGATGGTCTGTTTATAGAATCTCATTTATATTTAATTTATATAAGGAATGGACTAAATAAAATATAAGTTAAATCAGATTCTATGAAGACATCTTAGTGAAAGGAATGCTTGAACTCTCAAGATAAGTTAATATTGAACATATATTAAATATAAGTTATTTCTATGCACAGACCCTGATAGTTTGTGAAAGGTGTGCATTGGTTTTTTGGTAATTTTGCACTTATCATGTGATGGGTTTTTTTTTCGAAAATTTTTTTTGGTACTTATGTATTTTTGTCTGAAAAACACGAATTTGATATCGAAAATGTGAACAAACCACTATTTATCAAGATATTTCAAGAAAAAGTTAGAAATTTTGCCTCATTTTCCCCCTTGTGTTGGATGCATTTACAGGTACTTGCTCTTTTTATTTTGTCATTGGACACTTCATATACTCATGATGTACTTCAATGACACATTTTAAGCTAGAAAATTCAACAGGAAATATGATTTTTATGGCGAGTTTTTCCTATTTAGTGAGCAAGCATACCAGATGACCGCCATTTAATGGATGGGTTATCCAAATAGGAGATGTCAAATGTCAATAGATTGCTTTGGGAATGACATCACACACGCCATTATTTCAAATGATATTCTTCCTTCTTTTCACTAAACATGGATAATTCACAAGAAAATCATATTTCTAGTTGATTCATATAATAAAAAAAATGTGTCCAACATTGTGTGATATATATAAATTGTCCAATGATGGAAAAAGAAGGGCAAACTGTTCTAAATGCGCCCCAAAGACAGGCGGAAAAGAAGGTGAAATTTGTAACTTTGTAGTGAAATATCTCAATAAATAATGGTTTGTTCACATTTTCATTATCAAATTCGTGTTTTTCAGACAAAAATACGTAAGTACCAAAAAAATTTTTCGAAAAAAAACCCATCGCATGATAAGTGCAAAATTACCGGTTTTTTTATAGGTTTGAATACTTACATGATCATTATCAACAATGGCAGCAACTTCACTCTCTTCAGGCCATGGCCTCTTGTCAAAATAGTCCTCTGTGAGTTTTGGCCAAGTATGTTCATAAAGAGCTTGCAATTCAAATACTAGACTCTCATTTACATTATTACGAAAGTAAACAAGGAAGTTCTTGACACCTTCTGGCATTTTGAAGTGTGTTCTATTATATTCATCCATGTTGGGATCTCCAGTGTGACCCCCATAGTCATCATATTCATAATTCTGAAAAAAAGAAGTAAGAACACTTGTTACCTATCCCTTGAACTCATTATTATTTTGTTCAATTTTCTTTATAATGAGGGAGTTGTCTAATTTGGAAAAATACATGTCCTATGAATCAAAAAATTATTGTACAGCAGAATGATAAATGCCTCAGCCTTTGATAGGTTTCTATTTCAACAATGTTTTGCAATGTTTCTCCCAAGAACTATATTTTAATTCCTGGTAATTTGTAAAAGAAAAAAATCAAGTTAACAATAATATAGTGACACATGTCAGTATTGAGTTACCACAATGTTCACATCAGTCTTGAATAAACACAGAGTTTTCTAAAATGTACAAATTTCTGTACAAGTTTGTTTCCATCTACAAGTCAAGGACACACAGATATGGGATTAGTGCCAGCAAAGCATGTAGGTATGATGAATTTGTTTATGATTAGTGAACTTTTTGATTTTGATTTGATCAAGTTGGGGGTTGAATTGTATCAGAGCTGAAAGTAGTGTGCCAGAACATTTCTCAATATTTTGGTTTTTGAGTTCAATTACTCATATTATGAAAGCTATTAATATCAAGGGTCCTATCAGTGTGAAGTATTTTGTACTCAAACGATTCAACAAGCAGACACACTTGTTTTTTTTTTAATTTTCTATACACCATTTTATGAATTCTGTAAGGTGCCTCTTCAGCTTCATTATTGTCTCATGATTCCTTTTACATTTAATACATTATAGAAAGAGATTGTGAGTTGAATATTACCTGCTCGTACTCGTCATATCCTTTCGACATAATGGATGAAAATATTCTAGTCCCAGTTATAAGGTAGGACTTGTAGGATTAAAAAAGGCAAATCAGGCAAGTAGCAACTTTCTAACCAAAAAATATTCACCGACTACGTTGACGTTGAAGTTAATAGAAAAGACATTGACGTTTAACAAGTTTCGACAAATGAAGCAGTTGTCCTCAAAGCGGGACCAACTTCTGTCTAACGAAATCGACCAATAGGCGTTGATGCCGACGTAGGGAAAAAATAATACGAAACTTGTTAAACCAATATGGCTACGAATTTCAAATTTTTAAAGTGGTTTTAGCGCGTATGTGATTGAAATTCGGATATTTGCGTTTCCAGTTGTACAATTCTTTAGTGTTTGTGTTTTCGTTTATTTTTCATAGACTGAATGTCTAGTGGAACGAAATTCAGTATTTATTTGCGGAGAAACGAATAGACAGGAATCCTCTTTTCATAAGTAAGTTTGTATTTTCGAATTATCTAGTTTTTATATTGACCTGCACAAAGGTACTATATACTGTGGTATTATCAACAATTGATGATTTTCAATATTTTATTGTGATCAAATAATTATTTACGACCCAAACCTAGAGTCCCAAAACCAACCCAGAGCGCAATATTGCAGTCCAACATTGACATCACTTTCTCTGTGAAGTTATTCCGTGAGTTTCAAAAATCAATTCTGCAACATTTAACCATAATGCAGGCTCATGTTTTCAGAAAGTTGATAGGTTGATTGATTTAATTGATTCTTGCTCTTTCTTAGAATGTCCAGTTGATGTGTCTTCTGAGGAGATGATGTCATGAGGCATGATATATTGTTTGGAAATGTTGAACTTTCACGATGTTCTTTCAAAATATCGAGTCTTGCTTCCAACGGATCCTATTTTTCATTATTTTCATCAAATTTGACGACCAAAATTTCGCATAATTCTTCAAGACTATCGATCTTCTTCGTAAAAATAGTATTCGAAACATCATATGGTATGACTCTTGATGAAATCTCTGAAAGAATGCTCCTGTAGTCAGCATTTCCTTCGTATCATATGATCTCCATGATCTCGCCTTCGCTCAACTGCTCCATAATATCACGTCGGGGCCACCAAACTGTGAATACAATTGATACAAATCATAAAACTTTGAGTTTTAATTATATTATAAAAATGTCACGTCAATGTCAGACTATCAAATCATATATACCAAGTATATAACATAACTAGTCACCATAAATATACTCGGGTCAGTTCACTTTGTGAATCTTCAATTCGGTTCGTATGGACTGGATGGTTTTCTCCAATTGAGTGGCAAGTATCAAATACTGCTCCTTCGATCTGCAACACAACATCACATAACAATCGAAGTACATTCATATCAGAAAATAAATATCTTCAGATGAATTACATGGATGTTTAATCTGAGACATACCTGAATAATATATTCAACGTCCGAAACTGGATTGCTACATATCCGCTTTCTTTCCGAATAGTGTTTTTTACAGTAGGCATCTTCCACATTTTCAATCACGTACGTGGATTATATTAGGGACCTTGAATGCCAAACGATGTACTGCTCGGATCTAAAACTAAGAATCAATTTCAAATTTTGAATCATGAGACAGACCTACATAGAATATTGTATATTGTTTACAACATTCGTAACTGGAACGCGATATATTTTTGTAATTCATCAATTCATCAACTATCTCAATGAAGACGAGACAGGCAGATAAACAACAATTTTCTCTGCAATGAAGAACACTGTATATACCTAACCCACCATGCGCCTACCTCCTTTGCAGAGAGGGTTTATAAACGCCGAGTTGATACTCTCCCCTCGTAAGGGTACCTGTCGTGTTTCCATAGAGACATAAAGGTGAATATCTGTCTTATCTGTTTTCTTGAGAATCTGGAAAGGATATCAATATATTGCCTTCCGTACGAATATAATTATCTGAATTCTGTAAAGTATACTCTGGTCAGGTCTCTTTGCGGATCTTTTGTTCGGTTCGTCTTGACCGGATGGTTTTCTCCGATTGAGTGGCAAGTATCAAACACTGTTTTTCGGATCTGCAACTAAACATCACATATTAATCGGAGTACATTTAAATCAGAAAACTAATATCATCAGATGAAGTACATGGATGTTGAATCTGAGACATACCTGAATGATATTTTCATCGTCCGTAACTGGATTGCTACATATTAAGCGAAATACATTCGAATCAGAAAATAAAAATCATTAGATGAAGTACATGGATGTTAAATCTGAAGGGCGCCGTACATTATGCTATTTACAAGCAAGTTCGGTGCAATGCAATTTTGAATCGAACAATGCGCATGCGTCTATGATATTTCACCGTAAGTTTCATGCAAGTTTCATAATAGAACCAGTTCTATTTTTCCTGCAATTTCAACGCAAGTTTAGTGAAATTTTTAGTAATATTCATCGTAGGATCTTGATAAAATACAAATTCTCTCCATAACGTGACCTGAAACACCAAATAACCTCAAAAAGTACATTGAAGGCTCAAAAAACCTGAAAATAGTGAATATGAACAAGAAAATATGACAGAAATATCTCAGAAATATCTTAATGTACGGCGACTTGCAATCAATTGCGGAAATTGCGAGAAAATTGCATTGCCTCAAACTTGCCGAGAAATAGCATAATGTACGGCGCCCTTGAGACATTCCTGAATAATATTTTCAACGTCTGTAACTGGATTGCTACATATCCGCTTTCTTTCCGAATAGTGGTTCTTCCAGTAGGCATCTTTCACATTTTCAATTACGTGAGTTATATTGAGGACCTTGAAGGCCAAACAATTTGCTGCTCGGATCTGAAACTAAGTATCAATTTCAAATTTGAATCATGAGACCTACATGCATATACAATATAAATCTATGAAGAGTTTGAATATTGTTCTCAACATTCTTAACTGGAACGCGATATATTTTTGTAATTAATTAATTCATCAACTATCTCAATGAAGACGAGAAAGGCAGATAAACAACAATTTTCTCTGCAATGGAGAACACTGTATATACCTAACCCACCATGCGCCTACCTCCTTTGCAGAGAGGGTTTATAAACGCCGAGTTGATACTCTCCCCTCGTAAGGGTACCTGTCGTGTTTCCATAGAGACATAAAGGTGAATATCTGTCTTATCTGTTTTCTTGAGAATCTGGAAAGGATATCAATATATTGCCTTCCGTACGAATATAATTATCTGAATTCTGTAAAGTATACTCTGGTCAGGTCTCTTTGCGGATCTTTTGTTCGGTTCGTCTTGACTGGATGGTTTTCTCCGATTCAGTGACAAGTATCAACACTTTGCTTCTCAGATCTGCAAATAAACATGACATCAGATATCGAAGTCCATAAAAATTAATACTGATTTTCATGAGAGGCGGAACATGGATGTTGAATCTGAAACATACCTGAATAATATTTCCAACATTCGTAACTGGAACGCGATATATTTTTGTAATCCATTAATTCATCAATTATCTCAATGAAGACGAGGCAGGCAGATAAACAACACTTTTCTCTGCAATGATACTGCAATACTGCAAAAATCATCTTTCATTTCCACTCATGAAGCAACGTTGTCAAGTCACCAATTATAATCAATTTATCATGAAGATCAGAGTCCTGTCGTTGGATAAAACACGAGATAAAACATAATAAGAGTAAGCCATGATATTATAGATCATTCTTGACTTTTTCGAGCAACCAGCATGTCTGTATACCTCTTGTACCCTATAACAAAATATCATGTTGATGTTGAAGACTTGGCAACAATGTGCTGAATGCTGAAAACTCACAAGGAACCGCCCACAATTCGATCGCCGGGTTGTCAGGTTTACCCTCAAATATGAAATAATATAATAATATTAATATTAACACAAATGTATTATAAACAATAAGCCACAACAGATGAGGGAATATTTTGAGACAATTGATTTTTATTTCTAATTAGGAATATAACCAATGCAACATTGAGAATTTATGAATTATTGAATAACTAATATTTCCTAAGTTCCAATCGTATTTCAACATGGCAATTGTCCTATGGTCTGTCCCTACTTACAAAATCATGACGTCAGTTTTTACTCGCGGTAAATCTTTAACCGTTTGAAAATTATTGTGGCATTATTGTTGATCTCAGCACCTTGAAATCGAATGAAGAATTCTAAAAATATATGAAATTGAAAGTTATTTGAGTGATGATTCTATCTGAGAAATAAAAAAAATTAGTCAACTCGCCTATTTCATTTTTGTGGATGGTTCCATGGCTGTTAGCAAGCAGTGTATATCACTCTACTTGGTCATAGTGTACTTTCAGTATATATCTACCGTTCCTGCAAAGGACCCCGCACGAAAACACGGGAAATTGGTTCTCAGTCGAATTGGCTGAAATTTTACTATGTTGTTGTAGGATGGCTCATTAAAAAAATATGTGAGTTTAAAAAGTTTTTTATGTTTAGTTTCAGAGATGCAAGCCGACAAATTTCGTAAAAACGTCGTATCGGGGTAGGATTGACAAAGTATTAGTATTTAGTATAAATGAAACAAAATATAGGCTAGAAAATGTATTGATCGGAACTCATAAACATGTCTAGTTGTAATCACATAAATTATAGTAAATCAGGGTGTATACGAGGCACGGTCAAAAAATTCATTTTTCGGGAAACAAATTCGAGCACTATTCCAAAACCAACAAGTTATATTCTGGTGAGACATTATAGTTTTAGTCTATCTATTGAATGCTTCGAAAACGTATTTTCATTCTTGATAACTATCTCTGTTCGAATTATGAATTCTTTGAATTTTGTGTTATACCCCTTTTGGAAGTTTTACGAACTTAGTCGGCTTATAGTTTTACGAACTTAGTCGGCTTATATCTCAGAAACTAAACATACAAAACTTTTCAAACTCACATATTTTTTTAATGAGCCATCCCACAACAACATAGTAAAATTTCAGCCAATTCGACTGAGAGCCAATTTTCCTTGTTTTCGTGCGGGGTCCTTTCAGAATTCTAACTAAACAAATACGAAAGATACAGGGATGCTTCCATTAAAAGTGAGACACACTGTGCATAATGTTCATCTTGA